TTCTGTTTCTCCTCGATATTGAACCAGATCGCCAATAGGACTCAAATATCCTGCGGCGACCGCTAGTAACGACCCACATTCGGAGGGCATCGAGAGTACGTCGCTTGTCAGACTCCTGCTGGGCCCGTACTCACGAGATCTGCAGCGTCATCTGGAATGATCATCATGGCGTACGCACATGCGAGAGCCACAGGCGACTACGACCTCATTAACCGCTATGTGAGCCATCACCCCTTTGACACCCTACACCGTCTGAGCGGCCTATAGTCAACACTGCTTCACAAGTGGGCCGATTATCTGACATCGAATACCCTTGGTACTTCGGTTCAGACATCTGCAGATGGCACCACAAACAGTGGTCAAGCCAATCTCGCACTGAAGGGTATCATCGCCGTTCAAGCCATGTCTAAGATCAGTGCACTCCTAAAGAACTCGACTGGTCAGGCGGCGTACTCGGTAAGTGCGTCGGCCTTGCAGGGCTTGAAGCTGCTTACTGATGTAGGACACTAGTCTCAGGCGAAGTCCTTGTACTCGCAGTGGTCAGCCCAGGCCCTTACTACGGACGGTCACATACGCTTTACCTATGAAGGTACCGACTCCACCTTCACTCTCGGGTATAACATCTTCTGGGATCTATATCTGGAGACTGGGCTACTCAACGCTACTGTCGTCAATGACCAAACGAACTACGTGGGAAGTCAAATCCAGATATTTGGCATGCCCACGGATAGCACGAACGCGTCAGTGGTGTCTGCAAGTAAGTGTAGTCTCTCATCCGATATTCATGCCAGCTAATGAGAGCGCGTACAGATTGGAACATGCTGATGGCGGCCGTATCTTCCCGCGACAATGGTACTCAGCAGGCTTTGATCAGCGCCACTCATAAGTTGGCGGCATCTCAACCTGCAACCGGATATCTTGGGCAGTTCCCACTCATGTACACGGCGCAAGAGGGCGCGGTAATCCAAGGACGATCAAGTCCTCGTCAGGGCGCCATGTACGCGCCTTTGCTAGTGAAGTGAGTGACGTGCGCATGCTTATCAAGATTTACTGACGTGGATCAACGGGTAGTGCGTCTTCCATCTTGAGCTCCGAATCCAACGCGAATGGCACTGCGAGTGGGAACAAGAACGCTACGTCTGGCACTCCGGTTGGTGCGATTGTCGGCGGGGTCGTCGGTGGAGTAGCCGTACTCACTCTACTGGTGGGACTCGTTTTCGTCTGGCGGCGATTACGGTCGTCAAGTCGACGCAGAGCGTCGGTTCAGCCAGCCGATTCCGGGATGCGCGAGGCCATACTCAACGATGCCTCACCGGTGCATCATACGCCAGGAGTTACACCCTTCATGGAGGTCGACTTGAGCAGGCCTCCCGCGTCATCCAACACTGAAGGCTCGAGCACTTCGGAGTACCACACTACGCCGGAGGCGGACACGAAACGAGCTTACAGATTGCGCCGGATCCCGAACGAAGAACTCGCGCAACACACGGCGATGGCGCATAATTCACCTGCAAGTACCGCCTACCCGGCGACTTCGCCTTCTGCAGTCTCGAATCAGAGCGATCCTGCCCTTGGTCAAGGGTTACTACAGGAGATCAATAGCCTCTGGCGGGAAATATCAGCCATGCGTACGATGGATGATGGCATGTCGGCACCCCCGGAGTATGATGCTTGAATCTTCCGTATGGCGTATATGTACTCGAAACCGCGTCGAGTGACTCCGCAGACTGGAGCAATATTTCGTGAAACAGGGACACCACATTCATTTACCCTCTGTTGATTGGCGCTTCTGCTCCTGGAGAATACAGGGATACACGCATTTATATAGTTGAACAGTGGTAGCTCAGCGACACGAGACATGCAAACCGTACATGAAAGTGACGTTACGATACCTCTAGCAACCCATAACATTAAAGCTTGCCAACGGGGTACCCATAGCTACGTCCCAGAGAACGCTTCTTTGACGCAGGTTCAAACTCCTTCACCCACTGGCTGAGCTTAGCAAGCCCTGTCTTCTGCACGGCGAGCACCGTGCTATCCACCACACCACTCTGAGTGAGAAGATCAGAGCAATGGAAGCCGTCGCTAATGCCGATGTCGGAGGGGTCGGTATTGGGAGGCGTGACATTCTCAGCGGCCATGGTCGCGTCGCGCCAAGGGTCACCTGTACAAGGTGCATAAGAATGAGTGTAAGACGAATGTCGCAAGGAATCAGACTTACGGTGAGCCGTCGCAAAGAATACCCGCGGTACCTTCATATCCCATCCGTCATAAGCTGCATTGGTCTTCTCCACGTCGGGGACCGGTGGGGAGGAGAACGCCTCCGGGAACATCCATTGACATTGGCGCTACAAAAGATAAGCTTCAAGTCACTGACGAGAGGCGTGTGAATGCGCACCTCGTCACTGCTGGGCTGGTCCAGGCGCGATACAAGAGTCACATGGTCTTCCGGGGCAGCATCCTGTTGGCCAAGCTAACTCAACGGATGAAAGAAGGGAAGAGCAACACAGGGATATACCTGGAAGTACCCGACCTAAGAATGTAAACCGTCAGTATATCGTCATCATAAGGTGCGCAGAGAAAGGGCGCACTTCGTTGCACACGATCCATGTCCAGGAGCGGCCGGCATTGTCGACCTCGGTATTGGTGTAGTAAGTCGCGTTCGGGTCGTACGTTCCCAGGCAATCACTGGTGGACCGATCAGCGACCAATGCGCGCATCAGAGCGCTGACACCTACTTCCGGTTCTGGTCACCGCACACTATGACAGGATCAGTCAACTTAAAGGAGAGGAGTTGAAGAACTTCATGACGTACGCGAAGGTAGGTATGTGCTATTGAAGTACGAGCTCCAAGCTTTGAGAGCATGATCCAGTCCGAAACCAGTGGCAGGTGCCACTGTCCCGTTGGAATCCTTCTCGAGGGCATCGCAGAATTCATAGAACTGAGTACCGGCTCCAGAGTAGACCTAGATGTCACCATGAATCCTGATTTGAGCTCGGGGACGGAATGAGATGTAAAGATACCTGTAGGCTTTGCCAGTCCCAGAGGTTGTTGCGCACTGGAGGTCGGCGTAAGCCAGGTACACACGATGAGAAATGTAGATGCAACCCACGGGCTCCTGTCGCATCGTCGGGATGAACGACATCCGCCATGCCGAATTGGGCCTTGAGCGCATCAAAGGCATCCGTGTCATTGGCAATTGAATCGAAGTGAGCGATCACCGCTGCGACGTCGGCCTGCGAGTACGTCTAGGATTGGGCTGCGTCCATTCTCGGTTTAGAAAGGTGACGCACCGAGCAGTTGGTCGGCATCCCTTCCCTGATTGGTTCGAAGTACCTCCAGAAGTCCCTGTAAGTCGGATGTAAGCAACATCCAGGAGATGATATGCCGTGTGTGCGCATACACTATGCTCTCGACCACCCCGGAGGAGCTGTATCCGGCCCAGAACACGTCGGGCTTACTATTTACGAAGATCAGCAAAGCCCATGAGTGTTGCATAGCAGTTGTTTCTCACTTCTGCAACACAAAGCCAGTCAAAGCACCCGAGTAGCTTCCGCCGACAAATATCCAAGGCACTTGATCAGGTTTAACGGCATCACCACCAGTCATCGGCAACGTTGCGGTTTCAGCGAAGTATGCGAAATCGTCTATTGCCTGCTGTATCGTGAGATACTTGAGCGACTTCACAGTCAGGTCCGGATACGGGTTTGATAGACCGAAGAAACGGTGTTCCTGATACGCGTCAGCTGTAGGATTCATGAACGTCTACAGAGGATGGTGCTCACCATGACAATTGTGGCACCATTCAACTCTTGCGCTATCTGGCCGTTGATCGTCGAGTTGGTAAGGTAACCCGTGTACGCTGTTGTACGTGATCAATATCAAACCACCGCCAGTCAAAGGTAGGGCACACACGCGCGGCGTTGGCCTCTCCAGGGGTGTTGAAGATGATAGGGCCGCCCTTCTTGTAAAAGGTCGAGTCGAACCAGTATCGCATTTGGAACGTCCCCAGGCTGGGATCATTGTGGTCGATGAGCTGGTCGAAGTAGTATGTCGTGGCCTGAGTAGCAAGCGCTCCATGCTTCGCGGATGGAGGCGGCAGTGGCTGAAGGGGCATCGGCGGAGCGATGACCGCCGCAACCGCAACCGCAAGCGAGATCGGCACCAAAATACTCGAGAGCATCGTAAACAATACCACCGGGTGGACGAGGGCAGGGCCTGTCTGACAGAATAGCCGATAGGATGGATTATATAGCACAGCTCTTCCAGGGCGCAATATGCTTCTATCTATGTTCAGAACCGCGAGGTCAATATGTGCACCTTGTGGTCCGGCGGCACTCCAGCCTTCGCAGACCTATGAAAGCCCGACAGCACAATGTGACATCGTGCGGAAGAGGCAACACGCGACCTTGCCGGAACACGAGCGCTGACTTGGTATTGAGATAGCTGTCGAAGCAATGCCGGTCGGATGGCCGACATGTAGATGTGGACCAAATCATCGGGTCCATCAGCGGTACATAGATAGATGGACATCTTCGCAATCCAATGAAGACTTGTTTCGGATAAAGTGTCGTACCAGAAAGAAGATCGCCGGCCCGTAGACGCTCACGGCAGCTGTAATCGAAAGGGCCCGGGTAATCAGACTATGTAGTAGCCAACTGAAGGTGACTTGACCGGATATTGAAAGCATGAGCTCAAGATAGAGTACATATGCACGAGGGTAGGGGACAAAGATCAAATACTTCCAGTCGTACACTGTGGTCCTGGAAGAGGGAGGCAAGTTTCTAACCGCGCATGCGCATCAGCCGCGCAGGTCTTCGACCCGCTCGGCCCGGCCTTCCGGCGTTCTACAATGGGCCGGGATGCATTTCTTGTTCTTGGCCTCGATCCTACTCGCGAAGCTAGTGGTAACAAGTAGAAGAGGACCGAAGCCTCTTCTCGTTGTCGCGTAAGGGGCCTGCTCGATACTATGGCGTGCAAGTACGCTGTCGGTGATGTCAATTTGTCTTCCGAAATGCGACGCAGTGCACGATACATGGATCCTGTTTTGTACCATGCACACTACGCGGATAACAGAATCGGGCGTACAAACCCCCGAAACAGTGAAGCCCACAACCTTCGTTTCTGCTCGTACTGATGCAGACAGGCCCGGGCGCGTTAGGCCCCAGCTTTAGAGTATGCCTTGAAGCTTGGTTGAAGCTTGAAATTTGCATGAACCGCAGTCTACAATGCAGGTCTCACTGTGAGACATTGAAAACTAGCGTAGTGTATTGACTGTGCGTGCTGATACGGCGGTGTCACGGGTGGTTTTTGTCAACAGTCCGACGAAGTTAGCCCGTGCGTCGTGGAGGCGGGAACTCGGTCGCTGGTCTATGTGACGTGCGTCTCCGATGCGCGCCTCAACTCGTCTCATGCCTGCCTATCACTTGCACGATGGCTGCCGGTTGACGTCGTTCACTGACATGGCTCCTGTCATACTTATCATAGCGAGTCGTTTTCGCCATCTTGAACTACGACGATGAACACGCTTCGAACAGCATTGTGGACCTCACGCGCATGCAAGCTCGCCACCTTGCGCGGCCTCGCAGTCGCGCAAAGGCGCACAGTCATGACCATCGACAAGCCCTTGGTATAATCTCTGCTTGCACTTCTTCGTATCCAAGACCCTGATACCTGAGCCAGTATACTGCACACGCCGTCGCCTACGGCAAGGGTCGTGATGGTAAAGTCAAGTCCGACGACGATGCCGGGCTCTCGCTGCGTCTGGGCACACCCAAGTCGCTTGGGGGCCAAGGGGACGGGAATAACCCCGAGCAACTGTTTGCTATGGGTTACGCTGGTGTGTGGATAGTTGTGTATTTGCGTAGAAGTGTATTGATCGTGATACAGCATGTCTCTTGACCGCCATACAACTCGCCGCGGGTCGTCTGGGAAAGACGCACGCCGCCTCGAAAGCGGCGGTATACGCGAACGTCAACATCGGCGATGCGAAGGAGTACGGCGATTACGGTCTCTCGGTCGACATTCAGATTGAAGGTGTCGAGGATCAGGAGGTCATTGACGCGGGACACAAGGTACGCATAAGCACAACCCGCCTGCAACACATGTTGAAGTTGCGCAGCTATGCCCATACAGCAGAATGCTGGAGCACGGTGCAGTAGTGAACATCACGAAGTAGTCACGCCTCGAACGCGTTTGGCGGAGCGAACTCCATTATATGATTACGATGGTAGCGTAGATCGGCCTGGATCTAAGCCAATCAGTATATACAATATCTTCTCCTCTCTCGGAGTGCAGCTTGCTGTACGCGTGTATGCTAGGGTATCTCAAGTCCGTGTCCGTGTCCGCGCACCAGTGCAATACGATCACTATCTACAGTGTCCGCGAGACCGAGCACCAATGTCCAAAGCTGAGATATCCGGAATCCTTTAGACCGGGCTGTCGACAGTCTTGTGGGACCCCTTGCGCATGTCCTGGAGAACATCTTCAGGCTTGGACTTGAGGATGAGTCCTCGCTTGAGCGCAACGGCAGTGAACACAGCGAGGACGATCCAGACGAACGCCATGGCTATGACGAAGATAAGCTGGAGCTCAAAGAAGCCGGTGATATTCAGCGCGTTGCCGAGGGCACCGGTCGTTGCGATCCAGCCCACGTTCGGAAAAGTCAACGCCCAGCCTATCGATCCGTCAGGGCACAGTTGTAGATGGTGATCAAGAAGGCTCACATCCAAGAATCTCGTTCAAGTGCTTGTGCAGCTTGAACCAGTACGGCAGGGCACCGAACAGGAATAGGAAGACCTACGGAAAGTCCTCAGACTGCATTCTCACGTCACGAGGCACTATAACATACCGCGAGGCCGTAGAGCATGAGCGCAGTTAATAGGCTCGATGCGTACCATACTTCCCCGGCTACATCTGAGACGAGGCCATGAGCAGGGAGTCTGTGTCATGATTAGTGTCCGTATCACCATCCAAGAACGGCTGAACTTACATCGTACGCGCACTCTGGCCCAAGTTGATGAGGGCGAGAGCCGTGAAGCCTGGCGGTCCAGCAGCGACAAAGACGCCGTTTGCTTGGTGACCCTCCATGAATCCAGTCATCATGATCCTGTGTAAAACGATGTCAGCGACAGTGCCGTGGGAAAGCACCAGTACCGTGGGAAAAATTTGCCTAATGAAGTAAGCCGCTATATAAAATAGCGTAACGAAAAATCCGATACCCTGGAAGAAATATCCCAGAATAAGTACTCCAACAGCACGGTCGTCGGTGGGATCCATCGTCTTGAGCACATTGAAGGCGACAACGCCGACGAGCATCATTGGGAAGACCAAGAACATCCAAGCAGGGCTCATCGTGCGAATGTCATGTGGCTGGTTGTACCAGATCATGAGCAACGGAAACGATATGCCGACAGCTAGGGCGATGTAGATCCTGTGAAGTGATCAGTTCATGGGCATCGGGGAAACGAGGTCGGATCAAACTTGCCAGAAGAGGATATACGCGGAGTCTCTTGCGAGCACACCGGGAGTAACGCCGTAGTTGATGATACCTGTTCGGAGAAATAGAAAGACCAACTATCAGTCTTGGCGAGAACATGTAACACAGGAATACCGCGCGTACCGATGATGATTGTTGCGAACGACAGGATCATCAGCGGAATGAAGATGTTCTTGCTGGAGTCTGTTACCAGCCGCTTCGCCTGCCGAGGATACACTGCCACCAAGATGCAACGGTGAGTGACAATCAGCAGATGAGATATCGCGCAACGTACGGATGGCCTGGAGCAGCAGCGTCGAGAGATTCAGGAAGAAGATGCCTATGTTCAGGAAGAAGAATATATGCTCGACGATGCGGAGCGTATCCGAGCGATCCCTATCATTGTGGGTCAGTACTGCATACACAGCGACCATGAGTCTCATTCACCTCAACCCAGACATCGTCACATAGACGGCGCTGGTGCCCATGCCGATGGGGTACGCTTGCCACGTCCAACCATGAATACGGCGCGCGATGCGGGTCACCTTGTACTCCGAGCGCGGTGTTTCCTCCGCGTGCTCGGCAGGGTACGTCTCCACAGGGCCGAAGGCAGTGGTTGGGATCTCGCCGAACACGCTTTGACGATTCAAGCGCCGCTGATGTTCGCGATCCGGCTCGGCCGTGTAAGGTGTGTGCTGCAGCGTTGTTGTGGGCGAGAGCGGAACCGACTTTGGCAACGCGTGTTCCGTCTTCTCTGAAGGCTCCTCATACCAGTTGTTGAGGGTAGAGGTGGACGGGCCGGCGTGGTGTGTCATCTTGATGATAGTGAGTGGTGTGTGTATGCAGATGAAGGAACGATTGACTGTGGAATAGTCAGTAGAGAATTCCGGACTGCACGCGGGACGACATACGTGTGCGATGAGCAGAGCAGAGCAAAGCGAGAAGAGCGAAAATGCGAGAGACGTCTAGTCTAAGGATACAGAAGAGGAGAAAAGAAAGAAAGGATGGCGGCCGTTCCAGACGAGCGTGCAACAAGGAGCCCAGATAGGCGGTACGCGTCGATTATATAGAGGACAAGCCTTTGCCAAGCCTGGAGATCGCTTGCGCGCAGTTCGGACATGAACTTTTGAGCGGTGTCATAGTAGGCGCCGACGATGATGAAAGGCTCGAAAGGGCTGATTGCACCAGTGGGGCGGGGCGGCACTGCAGTCCGAGCGATATCAACAAGTGAAGATGGCTCCTCCAGCTCGTTTTACCTGCACTGCACAGGCCTGTATACGCTCTCCCTATCTTTGCCAAGTTGCGAGTCTCTTGTCAGTAGTGGCATCCTGGGAAAACATGGAGCAAGCGAGAAGCGTCGTCGCTGCACGACCGTAAGAAAGAAGTGAATTGGCAGGTTAGCGGACTGCGCATCAAACATGTCCGGAAGCGCCAAGATCCTTGTCCTCCTCGACGCGCCTCAAAGGTGCATCCCGACTCACCCCGAAACGGATCGAACAATGCAGTGCACCGAGAGTTCCCTCAATCAGAGCCAATAGCGATAAGTCCGGCAAGTTTCCCGCGTGGCATCACTGCTTCTCGTCTGGTTGGTTGAGGGCTGGGCGCATCGCCCACAACGAGTCGTGCAGCATTTGTGTTGCGCTCGACAACGACAGTGATGTACATGAGGTAAAATAAAGACGTCTTCTCATAGGGTGAAAGGGTAGACGTGAGGCCATGATTCGCCGGCATTCACACCGGACGTGCTCTAATCCCTCTTTACCCTGCGCTCAGCAGCCTGCGCGCCGGCTATCCTCGAGGCCGCAGCGATAATCTTCCAAGCGACGTAGCAGGCCGCTAACACGATGGTCACAACGGTGCCGGCCTCGACGCCACTGAGGTGCCGTATATCGCCGACGGGGACGGGGAGCGTCTGCGATTGGACATCTCCTTTACGAGGCAGTCTGCGCAAGGTGTGGTCGGGTAAGAGGGTCGTCAACTCGTCATCAAGGGTGGGTTCTGCCAAGTCGTACATGTAACTTGTATCTCGAGATGGTGATAACAAGAAACCGCGCACCGCCCTCTTTGCCCGAACAAGCCCAGAACGCCACTGGCGGCTCGACCACTGTTGCGACCGGCCCATCCTCGTCCCCGTCTTTCCTCGGCTCAAGATATCGCACGTGAAGCGGGATGTCAACTTCGAGTTCTCCATCGGTGCCACAAGCGCCCTTCACATCGACGAGGACCTTTCGTCCCGCGCGTTCCGGGTCGACGGCAAATGCCGGTGCTTCAAGGTCGACACCACGTTTTGAGGCTGGCACTTGAGCTGTGTAAGCGTCCGCATGAAGCTGCAGCTCATATGGGTCGGCGAAGAGCGCCGATGGAAGAGCATGATGTAGACGCAGAGAACATGATGAAGAGCAAGCGGGATCCGAGGCGTCGATATGTAGTTTGATTCGTGAGACGGGATGGAATCCTCGGGGTGGATCCAGCTGCCAGGATAGCACGGTGGACATGGTGGCGCAGGGAAAGGAACGTAGTTGGTGCTGAGCAGGCACCGAAGCAGGTCGGGAACGGGATCTCGGACTTAGTAGGATGAACACTCGTAGCACGTGTGGCACCCAATGAAATACCTTACCCTTGCACTGGACCCAATCGAGAGGCTCGACCACATGATCTACTGACTGACAGTCTCAAAGAGGAACGGGGCCGGCTCGGTTGATGGCAAATTCTCATCTTCATTAGCGTAGTAGCGGGAGTAGCAGGTCCACACAGGATGGATTAGCGGTAGTATAGTATATGTGATAAAGACACGATCCACGTTACGGAGGTTAGGTGATTATATGTATGTTGAGCGGAGTAACAGTACAGTAGTAGTAGGAATCGATCATGGTGATGCTGGAGAGGCAATGATTTTGGCTCGAGTGAAGGACGGGTGCATATGCATGGGAGAGGATGAGAGTCCGGCTTAGATATGTTTGTATGAGAAACCACGATGCTGAGAAGAGAAATGATGTCAAAAGTATTCATGCTTCCATAGGAGTACCAGACGACACGCTGGTCGTAGCCTCTGCCACAGGCTCCCCGTTGGGAATGCCTTGTACTGGCATGACATCCGTGTCTGGAATCGCGTCGTCGTCCACTACCTCTGCCTGAGTAGCCTGTTGCTGCTCAGACCACAACACGCTCTCCCTCGCTCTCGCCTGATGCTTAACAAGCATCAACTGCCTCATTCCCGTCATCTCATCTCCTTCCGCCACCCCGTGCTTCTCCCGCATATGCGCCTTCACCTCGTCAATCTTCCCCCATCTTCTAAAAGATGCGAAGTACCAGCGCTGCGACAGCCTTTCGCGTGTAACGCCAGTCCCTTCAATCCCGATCCGAGCATGGAAATATGCACAACGGTCGCACACCCACCCCTCGTTCTCCGCGCCTCCATTCGACCCGGCAGCAGTCCACCCGCACGCGTCGCGTTCCTGCGCGTTCAGCACGCGCCATCGCGGCTCGTGGTCTGTTGTACGATGCGCGGCGTATTCGCGCCAACCGCACACGAGACGGCCTTGGAGGTGCGGTGCCATGCGACGTTGCAAAAGGGGGCACACGGTGCACACGAGCGCCGGGTCTAACGCGTCAAGATCGGCGGGAGTAGTGATTGTTGGGTCGAGACCAAGCATATCGCACAAGAGTGCGACAGCGCCGAATGCACGGGCGTCGAAGTTCGCTTTGACAGGCTCAGGCGGCCAGCGCGGTTGCACAAATTGAAGCACCTCAGGGCCGAAGTAAAGGGTACTGTATCCACCCTTGTAAGCCGTCGTGGCGGAGTTGAAACGGTGAGAGATTTGCACGGGCTTGGAGGGCGATGAGGCGGCGGGAGCGGAAGCGGATGGTGCGGCGGTGAAGATACTCTGATTGCGTTTGCTCAGGACGTCGGCATGGCGCTTGTGTCCCGACGCTATGATGAGCTCGCGAAGTCGAGGTATAGCCGAATCGAATATCGCCTGCGGGAATTTGACATCGTCCGCGGGTATCATCTGCTCCTCCTCGATGAACTTCGCAAATTCCGGCAACTCGAACACGTCCTTTTGACTGGGCGCAACCGGGATTGCCTCGGGTGGAAGGGTGCACAGCCAAGCGTCGTAGACCCTGGTGACAGCATGCTTGCGGTCTTCGACTCTCGCGAGTCTCTCGCGCTCGAGGCGTTCAGTTTTGACCCGCGCGAGCTCTTCCACCAGCAGAGGCAGTACGCGTTTCCACACACGCTGTGTGAGCGGCTGTTCGGCCCTGACTTCCCGGTGCTGATCTAGCGCGTCGACGTCCGCCCTGGCGTAGCCCAGATCTAATAGACGCTTGTTGATCCTGGTGCCACAATCGTGAGCTCATCTCGCACCCTGGTGATCAAGAAGGGATCGGGACTTACTCATCGCGCCGGGTGCTTTTGTTGCTCTCTAGGATCCGTGTTCGCGCTTTGTCGACTTGAGCCTGCCATTTGCTGAATTTGTTCGCATGTTTTTTGTGCGCGGCTGTGCGTTGGCGGATGCTCTCCTTTAGCTTGTCCAAAGCAGCCTGTGCCTTGGAAGAGACTATCGCGTCATCGTCGTCCTCCTCCAGACCGTGATCCTCCCTCTCGTGGAATTCGCGCTCGAGGATCTCGCGGACGCGTACATGCACGCGCGCGACGTCCGCAGTCCAGTAGTACGTGGCTGGACGCGAGCGCTGACCGCCGAGCTTTGACTCGACCGTACTGACTAGGTCGGCAAAAAGGTAATCGAGACAGAAGACGTAGGCCTCCTTGGCTTCACTCCTGGTGAGAAGACTAGGCGGCGGGTCAGCGGAAAAGGAAGCAGAAGGCGAGACAGGACCTGGGATAGGAAGGGGGGATGGAGCGTGACGCACTGGGCGTTAAGACAGGCCCTACACACGCGCTTGAGGAGGGCGGGGTGCACGCGGACCGGGCGGGCACCGCACATCTGTGCGCATGGCGTACGTTAGCTGCGATCAATGAAAGCTTGAAGCGGGTGCGCCAGGGGACGTACGTGACAAAAATTACCGCCGAAGACGAGGTGCGCCCAGGCCGGTTCGCTCATCCATTTCGGAGCGGGCGGACAGGGCGCGACGAGATGGTATGCGCGCCGCCAGAGCGCGGCACGAGAGCGCGAAAGCAGAAGGGCGCGGAAAGCTTTGGTCGTGCGCGCGAGTTGCAGTAGATCCCCAGGAGGTAGATAGGCTACAATCTGGGAGGCGCCTATGTCAGTGGCTGTGTAGAGAATCGCGAAGGAAGATCGTACTTCGAGCAAAATGTCAAGCGGCATAGTCGGTAAAAGGCTGAGTTTGCCGGCCAGGCGTCCTCGCTTCGGGGCCTCGTCGGGAGCGCCGCCCTTGCGCGCTCGCTTGCGGGGGCGTTCATTGGCGGTGTCTAGTCTAATGAGCCGCTAGGCAGTACGGATTTGCCGGGTATACGCACCGTCGTCGTGTTCGTCGTCCTCGAGGTCGGTCAAAGGCGACGGGCTACGGCGGAGGGTCAGCAGCGCGTCGAGATCCATTAGGGGTGTTGGTTCGTAAGAGCAAGAATATTATGGGGTATAAGGAGTAGGAGTAGGGCAGAGAAGGAGGATGGAAGAGAAAGGCAAGAAAGGTTAAGGGCCGAGCTGCGGCAGATGGCGTTGCGGTCGACAATCACACCCCTCGCGCGCTTCGAAGTGCTTCCAAGTCTGAAGTCAGACAGACGCATCGGTTGCACCAGTGTTGCACCGCACCCGGCACGCTTACGGTCAGATCAGGAACCCTTGGCGGCTCTCTCGAAGGATCACGAAGTTGAATGAATACAATGCGATTGAATGCAACTCAAACGACGCGTAGGAACGGTAAGCGATATATGTAGATTAGAAATCCGAGACGCGACCCTTGAGCGACCACTCCGGATCGTCCTCTGACCATCGCTGCACCGGCTCGCGCTTGGGGCCACCGCGTTCGCCGGTGTGTGGGTTGACGTCGCCCTCGAACGTCGGCTGGACGGGCCGGGGGGTGTCCGGGTGGGAGGCGCCCTCGTTCGCGGCGCGAATGAGTTCCTCAAACTCGCGCTGCTGGGCAGGCGGGAGCGGGTGCGGCATCGGGCGGTTGAATTTGTCCTGGGTGGACATGAGGCGCCGCGGGGTTCGTGGGTGCGCGCGTGGCAGGCGGCAGAGTACGCGGGTGATCATCGGGCTGGTGTTTTGTGGCCGTGGTCGTGGTCGTGGCGCAAGGAGTAATATGTTCGGTGTGGCTCGCGAGTCGCGACAAGCATGATCCAATAATTGAAAGCCAAATATCACACGCCGCTTTGAAACCTGGCCGGATCTCTCCTCTGCTCTCTCAGCACCATCTTCTCCCGTGACGACCTATTTCGAGCCATAAAGTCCGGCGTGTTTGTATCGCGAAGATCTAACTGCAACAGGAGCGAATCAGCGGTGGAGGACCTATCCGAGTCGTCCAACGTGGCATTGGTTGACAGGAAATAAGCAGTTAACACACCGGCGGCCGCGCAAAGGGAGCCGCCCAGGCCGCCGTTTGCCATGTTCTACCAGTATGCGGACGCCGGGCCCGGACCCTCCTCCTCTAAGAAGCCCAAACTCGATCGTCTACGAGCCTGTGACGCATGCCGCCGCAGGAAACAGCGCTGCGACGGTCCACAGACCGCTGACCAGGTCTGCACGAGCTGCAGACAGACAAACCGTCGCTGTACCTATGTGTTCGTATTCTCTCTGATCTCATACCCCGGCTACAATTGATCTTTCTCCTTCCAGCGAGGCATCTAAACCCCGTGGTCCGCCCAAGGCGTACGTCAATGGCCTGGAGGACCGCGTCGAGCGCATGGAGCAGCTCCTCCGCCGCCTTCGCCCCGACATCGACCTCAACGCCGAAATCGGCCCGCCCGTGCCCCGCGACAGCTGGAAGCATCCCAATCAGGCGCACTCGCACACGTCCCCCGCCTCGCAGGCATCCCCAACCTCGACCCTCGACTCTCTTAGGAAGGTCCCTTCCCTTTCCGTCATCAAAGCCGAAGAAGGCGGTTCCGTTGACTTATCCGGCGGCAAGGACGAGGATCCTTATGAGGCCGAACTCGATCGCACCGTCGATGCCTTTGAGAAACGGCTGCAGCTGACAGAGATCGCGCCCGACAAGAAGGGCAACAAGCTGCTCGACCGCCAGTATCGCTACCATGGCTCCTCCGCCCCCATCATGCTCGCATCCGTGGCCGCAGAACACCGTGACTACGAACTTCACGAGCAAGGCAATTCCCCTGGCTCTAGGGCAGGGGGTGTCGACTCTCGCTTTGTCTGGGAATCCGTCCAGCGCGAAGAATTCGCTCATGCGCCGGACGTGCGTGCCGTCCTCATGTTGTACAATTTCTAACTTTGACGCCTTGAACAGTGGGAGCTCACATACGAGGGACTACACATCACATCTCCGAAGGAATTCCCGGACTTGCAGACACACTGGCCGCCTCCTGATATGGCAGAGTCGCTGATCAACGCCTACTTCCACCACTTCAACAGCATGTTTCCGCTCTTGCACAGACCGACATTCGAAAAGCACTACAACGAACGTCTGTACGAGCAGAACGTCTGGTTCGCGTGTGTCTGCATGGGCGTATTTGCTATCGCGAGCAAACACTCGGACGATCCACGGGTCCTAGCCGCCCCCGATACGCCTGCAAGCACTCCCAGCAGCAGCGCCAGCCAGAGCGAGGACGACTTTGACACGACGTGGCACAGTGCCGGCGTCAAGTATTACTACGCTGTGATGAGTGAGTCACCTGCCCGCTCCTCCATCCTCCGAAATACTTACCGACGGCACGATAAGCCGTGCTCCAGCGGAAACAGTCGCAACTCACACCATCTAGCCTGTTTGAGGTTCAGGCTGTCTGCGTACGTCCCACGTCAATTACCACCCCCATTCAATCCCGCCTCTATCTATCCTTGTCTGACAGCGCATCCTTACAGCTGTCGACCCACTTCCAGCGTAGTACCCGCTGGGCGGGTGGTGCTTGGGTCATGTACGCTGCGTCGATTCGCAAGGTGCAGGACGTAGGCGCGCATCGCAAGAGGAGTTACAAGGATGGCGTGACGGTCGAGAACGAGCTCTGGAAACGGGCGTATTGGTACCTCGTCGGCTTTGACCGTACGGGAAGCGCCGCACTCGGGAGGCCATGTAGTACGCGATACGAGGATGCCGACGCGGAACTCCCGCTACCCGTCGACGACGAGTACTGGAAGGCCGACTTCCGCCAGCCCAGCGGCGGCCCGCTGCCCCAGGTCACCGCATTCATCCTCTGGCTCCGATTGACGGAGATCACGAGTTTTGTACTCATGCACTATTACGTCGCCGTCGACTCGCCTGAAAGACACGCCGCTCGGCCCGCCGATGAACTACTGAAGCAACTCAACATCGCCATGACTGAGTGGATCGAGGCCGTACCTGACCATCGTGTGTCCACTGTCACCTCCGAGTATCTTCACCTACTGATACGTTCACACAGTAAAATGGTCTCCCGATATCCCTGATCCAGTCGTAGCAAACCAGTCGGCGACACTCTTCTTGAACTACAACATGTTGACCATCCTCATCCAACGCGCCTTTCTCCCGCCAACAGCAACGCGTCTCCGCGGATTGGCATCTCCCATCAATCCAAACGTTCGAGGATATCCACAAGCTTCGACAGCTCTCGCGATCGCCGTATCTGCCGCTTGTGCCGGTGCACGTGTACTGGAGACCGCCCACTCACGAGGTCTAAGCAATATGCCCATATTCCTGCACGCCGCAGAGGTTTTCGGCGCGATGCTATGCCTCGACGTATGGATTTTGAAGATGCGCGAGCGCTCACGGGGGGAGCCTGCTCTCGATGCGATGCACACGATCGAGCAACGGATGCACGAGATACAGACTATCATCCGCGGCGTTGAAAGCGCCAGGATGCGCTGGGAAATCGCTGGTCCCACGCTCGCGTACTTGCGCGCCGCGATGCCCAGTCCGGAGGACGAGGGTGGGTGGGCCGGGTTCTCGTTGGAGGTTATGCCGGATCATGAGGAAGCAGAGCATGAGGAGGAGGGTCAGGGCGAATTCCAGCTTCGGCACGGCGCAGGCGCTGGGGCGAGTGGTGCTGCTCAACCGTTCTTCTTGGAACACGACGCGGTACAGAGTCTTGCGAGCGCTACCGCAAGTACGGTCCCCGCCGCGCCAGCATTCCCATACAGTCCGATGTACGAGGTCCCTGGCAACAGCTTGCAAGACCAGACGCAGGGTCCATTTGTACAGTATCTGCCCACCCAACCGCCATTCGAGCTCTTCAGCCAGCCAGGGCCCGGCTATCAGACGCTGCAAAGTCGACGTGGATCCTTGCAGCGTTCTTCGCTATCCCCGCCACAGACATCACCGCAGGTGCAGAACCGTCTTACACCGGTCAAGCTGGAGGAGTCGGCGGATTTTGCGACTGGCAGTGCATATAGTCTGAGCATGCCGCCACCTTCAGGGGCTCCGCCACTTGCGGGATGGCAGCCCTGGCCGCTCGTACCGAGCCCTTACGCTCAGCCGCTGCCTGCACTGAGGACGCGGTATAGCTGGGACGCGACGCAACAGTTGGCTAACCAACAAGACCTGCAGACGCCGCAACAACAGCAATCGCGGAACTCGTTCTACGGTCCTTAGATATAGCGGACCCCTCTCTGACCTCCTTCTTGCCCAACCCCGCACGTTACTTGCACTTATGTATTTCGCTCTCATGCTGCTGTGAATGTCCACGTCTCGGTCTGCCTTACAGTTATAGTTTCGCCGGTCTCTCCATCCATCCATTATATAGGTCCACACCGTCTTGTAGCCTCAAACTGTCTCCCTGTTCCGTTGCTCACTGGCCGAGATCATCTTGCTCGTTTACCCACTCTCGGCTATAGATAGCCGATACTCCTCACATATATGGTTATGCTTAGGGACTGCTGTATATTATATCTCTGCTATGCAGCTGCTTTTATTCCTCAGATTCGTTGTCTCCATCTGGCCTGAAGAGGCTATAGTGTATTAGGCCGGTGTCCCCGAAATGTTCCCAGCCGTCGGGAGGGCCAATGAGCAAATATCTGACCGTCGTTGTATGATGCTTCCGTGTTCGGCGACACGGCCGCGCGATGTGACGGCGCTGATGCCCGCGAGTCGCGACATCCATGACCATTGGCATTACTGTAAGTCCTCCGCTGCGAGGAATATCCTCGCTACTTGGACCCATGCACGAGCCAGGCCCGCGTGCCACAATAGGGATATGCTTTAGAAAAGGTACAACTGCGGCGCAGAGGCCGAGGCTGGATCGCGACGAGGGTGGCTGCGATCATGGTCGTGAAGCGCTCAGCATTTCTAACTTCTCGGTCGGCATGGACGCCTCACGGTTGCCTCGTCCCGAATCCCAGGACTTCGTTAGCCGGTACACGCTCGCAACTGCACTCTCCTTGAGTCTCCCACCAGAGTCGCTTTGAGCAGCGCACCGTTCGGGCTCTCCCTTTCCAACTTTTGTTCTCTTTGTCCCTGCTGGCCTGGTCGCCTGTCTGTAATAACCCTCCGTCCTCTCGCTTTCACCCTCCCCTTCGCTCTATCCCGCAAATATGTTCGGCTCTCCTTACCGTCAGGCTGCTCCCGTTATGGCCGAGCGCGCCCCCGGCAAGATCACTCTTGTGCGTCCTGACCTGTGGATATATTTCGATTTACGCTAACCATTCATCAGTACTTCCACAAGAGACAAACTCCTCCTACCCTCCCCTATGAACTCCATAACCACGTATGCACCAATGGTTCATTGAGAGAAGGTGTTATACTCACTGATGATATAGGTCTCCCCGGACACTTGGGCGAGCCGCGTGCCGCAGATCCTGCGTCTGACGGCGCGCTACCAGCAGCCTCTCCTCGAGGCTGTCTGGATCTTGCTCTTCTTTGTCGCCGCTATTGCGGTCCCCATGGCTCTCCGCTCAACCATCTACGGCAACCTCCGCACCTCGATCTACACCGCGCACTTCATCTCCCTCGGCATCTTCCTTGCTATCGCACTCGTCTTCTGGGCCCCGCTCATCGCATGGAAGATGCTCGGTCAGCAATACGCGAACGTTCTCGCGCGCCGCTGGGCCGCAGAAGATACCCGCCTTAGCGGGAGCCGGTACAACGGTTACGTGCCGCTTTGGTCGATCCGCCTCCCAGGAGTGCTCAGCAGCCAGACGATCGTTACGATTAACGTGCCGCAGCTCGGCCCGCCCACGAGCCCCTACGACGCACAGGCATACCTCCCAAATGTATGTCGGAGTCCATTGTGGTCGGAGACTAGCGCTGACAATGTTTGACAGTGGGTTGGCCCCGCGCAGAACCAGGGCAGTCCGTTCGAGGACAGATATGCGACGGACCTCAAGCGCCCATCGTCGCTCGATGCGCTTCCGTTGTACGACGGACGCAACGCGCCACTCAACCTCGACGAGAAGGCTCCCGGTTACTACAACGGCGGTCATCAGGTCTAAATCAGGCCGCAAACCCACCACCAATCCTCGCCTCGCCTACGCCTCTCCGACCACCTCCCGCTGCTCTCAGAGTCTCACTATGTCCAGGAGACATAAACCTGTCCCGCCTCCGGCTGCGCTATGCCGTGTCGTCGATGATCCGATGTCTTTGTAATCCCTGTATAGCCGAACTGTTCAGGGTGCGCTTGCGCGCCCGCCGCTCCTCGTGTGCCGTGCATACCGAGTCTGAGCAATATACAGTCTCCCAGAGCTTAATTCTCAATGAACGCTCGTTGTACCATATGTTGCGGCTTGATGCCGATGGGCTGAACTATGAACAAGCGGCAAGATGCAGGTATGTATTCAGGAGCAGTGCAAAGAGATTCGATTGAGAATGTCCGCGACGGCGCAAGATCGGGGGGTACAAGAACACGGAGAAATACAGATGGGCTTGGTGATGGTCTATGTGCGAGCGGAAAAATGATATGCAAACAGGATAAATACGCGGGAAAAGGTGATATGCGATGGACAAGAAAAACATATGGAGAACCCGGAGCGATATGCGGAGGAAGATACATTTGTGAGTAACAGGCTGCTATGCGTGCTCTGGTTCCCAGGCGGTGAAAATATAGTTTGGACCCTCGTTGACGTTCATACCCCACAGTGGAGAAGGCGGCCCATATACTTGACCCTCAAAGGGCGATAGCAGCTGGCCATTTACCGGCTGGCCCTGATGCGCAAGTAATGCATCGTGCACCCCGCCCCACACGTTGCTGTGTGGCGACGGCGACACAGGTGCACTTGGAGCATGCAGCAAAACGTTCGGTGCCTGCAGGAGGACGTCCGGTGCCGGTGTAGTCCCTAACGTCCATCTAAGAATGGAGTCAGTTCAAAGAGGAATTGTTGAGGGACGCGGGAACAACGCACGTCAGGTACGAATCCATGTCGACAACGCGCTGCCGGACTTCGCATGTATGGTCTGCGCCTAGCAATTCGGCTGCGCGATGAAGTTGAGCAGCGGCTTCGGCTAACGCAGAATAGACGTCCGAGCTTCCAACACAGGAGCAAGGGGTCCCGTCGGAGTCGTGCCTGTGGTGTGAAGACATGGGATGCTGGAAAAGGCCATATGGTGTAGGGCTGGAACTGAGCTCGTACGCGTTCTGACAACCGGCATCTAGCGTGATGGCTGGCGCGGGATTGGGCGAGTACGAGAAGTCGACGGTCCGCGGTTCAAACGGACCGTCCAGAATACCAGGCGCGAAGGTGAAGGTGACAGGCGTATTCAGCGGCGTGTACGGCGCGGAGCTCGAAGCTGAACCTGGGCTATGTGGAACCAGGGGTGATAGACTCATCGTAGAGATGGGCACGTCAAGATAGTGGGCGGCCGATGGCGGTGTGGCGGGAAGCATGGCGCTTGCCGCCGAAGACTCGGACTCGGTGGTGAGCGGGCGCGATACTATAACCCCAAGAAGCATCAGAATATGCTCAAATGGGCGGCTACACGAGGCGTTGACGCTTGACAGTGATGAGAAGTACTTACGCGCTTCGTCACTGAGTTCGCCGGCGCCGGGCGTCTCCTCAATCCAGCGAGGCTTATTCTTCATCTGAAAACAAGTGTGGTTCAGTCCCTGTATGGACCGAAGACAGTCTATCCGACGTGACGTGCCTCGTTGATGACGCCCTCAAGCTCTGCGACGCGCTGGTGCAGCACATTGGTGTCTTCGCCGGCACTGTAACAATGGCAATCGTCGGCATAATAACACCGGGCCATCAAGAACATTCATACCGTGGAGAACGATCGTCGACTTCATAAATGCAGACGCTCGTCTGAAGCATTGATGAACTTCTAGACGTTGTAGGGGGAAAGAAGACACCGACCAAACCCAACTGAGTGCATCGACCGCACGGACGCCCTCTGTCGCACTACAACGTGGGTCAGACAATATACTGGCACACGCGCACATCGTAGACTGACCATGCGCTTGGAGGTATGGCAGTTCAAGCAGGACTGTGTTGTGCGATTACGGCGACGTTTGCGGTGATCCCCGGCGCCTTCTGCCTTGGCCTTGGCGGCGCTGGCGGCTGCTTCGGCTTTCTTGCGCTTGAAGCGCTCAATGCGCTCCATGCGCTCGAGAGCGGTAGCGGACATATGAGGTTCGATGGAGGTCATGGTGGGCTCGGGACGGAATGACAGGAGAGAAGGGATAGAAGGATGGTAGAGTGCACAGCACAGAGCAGATGCCCGAGGCTTATATGAGTTACGGCCGACGGCGCTCCAGTAAAAAGTCCAAGAACATTGAGCCTTTCACTAACGCATGCAGATGTGAGAGCCTGAGGCCCGCGGAGTAAACGTGGAAAGGGATACTCTTTCCTAGAGAACATGGGCCAAGACGTTCGCGCTCTCTGCCGGTGTTCTGATAGCAGCGAGGCTCGCAAAGAAGCAGACAAGCTGCACAGGTTTTGCGAGTATGAGAATCAAGTCTCCAGAGCTTCCCTACAACGGTGGAGATTCATCTAAGCGATCCTCCACCAAAAGTGCTTGCATATGTTGCTCAGCACCATGCCCATTGTGAGATAACAAGTCGACAATGCAGTATCTCTGCGATCATGATTATTAGTCGTTGTTATCATTCCGACGCGCGCCTGTGAATGGGAAGAGAAGCTCGACCCCAACAGAAGACAATTCTATGCTTCCGGCCAAGACTTGCGGAGGCGAGAGCACAAAGCTCCCAGGTTGAAAACTTACCATACCACCGTCAGGCTGCTCTGTGTCAGATAGGTGGGGCGCATAATGACTACTCGGTGCGGGACGAAGACGCCGTAAAAGTAGCCATAGTAGCTGAGTACGCCTTGCCGCCTTGCCTCCGAGCAGATGGTTTTCCAAGCGGGTCACTCGTGACGAAGATCGCGGACACCTACCTTCCGAAGGGCGTACACCGTGAGCTTCAAAGTTTCGACACCATCATATTCGCCGAATCGTAGCCACAGGGCCATGCTTCCATGTCCATCTTTGGACGGCAAAGGGTACCACGGACCGGCTTGGCAAGTATCTTCTATAGGTTGAGCCAAATGGACGGTCGGCCGTGCCACGATTGTCACTGGCTTGAACCCCGAGAGCGACATCTAGCGACATCTGGCGAGGGAGAAGCATGAATAAACGTGTTGCGCACCGGCTTGGGTAGCTATCGCCAGGCACTCCGTCGCTACTGTAAGTTTTCGAGACGTCGAGAGGCACACAGCGCGGATCCGACGAGCTGCAGTGAGTGCAACTCGAGAGTAATATGCTGTGAGAAAACATAGTGAAAGTAAGGAGCTTCGAGTTCGTCCGAAATGCCGTCTGCCAAGCCAGAAGTGACGCAAAGACGCATGATGGTGAGCCCTGTGCATCGCCCTGCTGCAGGGAAGACCCATCTGAAAGGAGTTGATACGAGCTCCGAGGGTGCAGAGAACCTGGTGCGGAAGTTTAGCGTTGTATCTTGACGCCCGTCAGGCCACAGTAGGGCACCACATCGGCATCTTTAAAGCTACTTCAGTGTAGCCTTCCAAACTCGTATAGTATGCTTGGCTTTACTGAGAAGACGCTTTCAGTATGTAAGTAGAAATCGGAAGGAGATGGCTGGAGATCTCTGGGCAGGCGCGGGTCACGGCGGCCCATGGAACCAAGTCCGCGCAGCCTCGGGCGCGTACACGCGGTTTCTCACCCACGCATGTGTCCGTCAAGAGTACGGGCGGCTTCGCACTTTTTGAGCCTCTGAAGATGGCATACGAGGCGCACCGAAGTCCGAAGCGTGCCGTGACAGCTGGCCCGCCTGACGAAACAGGATAGCAGGTTGTGTCAATCGCTAATCAGCAGATAAGTGGCCTCGCTGGGGCACAAAGGTACGTGTATCAGGGCCACAACGGACGTCGAGCTGGCCTGGAGGGATCAGTCTGGCCCGTCGAATGCTAGCTGTATTTCTTCGGATCGGAAGATCCCAGCGACGTACTTAGTGGCGCCATTCTTCGCTACCGCAGATAGAGTGGGGTAATCCTGGTTCTATACCAGCGACACTATGATTGAGGGCCTTCACGCGAAGCCACTACCGGGGCCTGAAACATGTTTATATCGTTTGAGGAAAGCTACTTGTATTGGTGCGAGTATGCACGATCGTCTGTTCGTGGTGTGTTTGCGTCGGCGGGTGCTGACGGGCAGATTCGAGATTGTGTCGCCGACTGACCGGGAATGTGGTCACGACAAAGTACGGGTCGGAGTGTGCGCAGCCTGAAGCGAAGAACGGCCAAATCTTCCATGATGACTGAAACTTCAACACAATCAGGATTCGCATACAGTGGCAGAGAAAGGCCTAGGAACGGAAGATGCTTGCCTCAAACGCCTCTCACATCTATTCACTGTTGCTATCACGAAGGTAAACCATAGCATTGCATTCCCAACATTCCCAACAGTGTACACAAATGAGTCCATATAGTTGCAGGGAGTGCGCGACAGAAACAATCAGATTCAGCTTGAGGCGCTTAGGCGTATGGATCGGAACACCATCCGCTAGGCGAACGCGCCGAATACGCCGAACACCAGTGTGAGCCACCATCCGCGGTACAGCGCCGTCCAGCCTTCTTCGCGAACGATCTTCTGCACACAATCGGTAAGACTCAAATAAGGATCCATCTCCGAGCGAAGTCTGCGTATACTTCAGAACACGTTGTTCAGAGGCCAATGAAGATGCAGAGGACTCACCCGATGACGTCTTCGTCGGCGCCTGCATATTCCATTGTTTCCTCTGCGTCACCCTCTTCCTCCTGTACAACCGAGTTGTACTCCGCCGCAGCATGATTACGTTGTACGGCGAGGCGTGTACTAATGACTTCAAGCGGGCTGAGTACAATGGTGCTTGCAACGACGATGCCGTAGAAGACGCCCAAACGCAACCAGGACACTTGTTCCCAGTCGTTGTTGTCATGTCCAGTAACTTCGGGTAGCAGCATGTGACGGAGCGCACGCAAACCAAGGACGACGTAGGCGATGTGCAATGTTTCGGCGGCTAGCAGTCCAGGGGTGAGGTAAAGTACCCAGGGACGACGGCGCTCAGTGGGCGTCAAAAGGACACGCAACGAATGCGCTGGGGAAAAGTACGGGAGGCGGTGTGGCGTCGTGATCGCACTATGATTGTGCGCGGTTTCAGTTTTATGGTCCCAGAATGCACAGGAGGAGCGTACCGGTACGTGATGATGACAGCTGGGAGCGAAATAAACATGAGGACAACGCTGTACAGCAGAGTGCCCAGTGCACCCGTCGCGGGCGCGTTATAGGCACCTCGGTTCTTGGGATGCGCGACCATCGGACCAAAAGCCACGACCGTGAACAGCACAAGGAACGTGTTTGACAGCATGGTAGGCACTGTAAGGTATTTAGGATTGGCACCTGTCATGATAGCAGGGAACATCACGTACTTAAACCCTTGTACAAGCCGGCCCAGCCCTCAAGACGCTTGACTCTACTCATCATCGCGAAGAAACCGGTTATAACTGGCCCTGTATGTGGCTGAACCCCATCTTCTGGATCGAGTTGTAGACCCTTGGGATTGAAATTGGCCCTGCGTGTAGAGTGTTCGGTGAAAGATGCGACGGTGGCGGGAAGACGAACATCGACTTACCGGAGCCTTACGAGCGTCCCGGTTAATGGCACTGTGACGGCCAAGGTAAGGCCAATGAAGAGTAGGAATGTGATGGCAGCGCCGATTATCTCGAGGCCAAACATGGTGGTGAAGAGTAAGGCGGCTCTGGCGCAGAGGCGCGCAGTATGTTGCCTGTCAGTGTGGCTGGGCTAAGCAAGTACGCGTCACGGCTGCGCCTGCCGGGAGTCGGACCGGTTCCTGGTGCCCCTAATCCGGGTTGTACTGCGCTTTTGCGGCCAATGGTAGAGCATCCCGAGCCAGTTATAAGTGATGGCAACTGTAAGTACTTGCCATATCATAATCTCTACCGTATTTATCATCGGTAACGTTCAAGGCGATGCCGTCCGGCGATCTCAACAACACTTCTTTCTGCACCTTTACTCATGGGAGGCTCGGCGAACGAATCCTACGTGTTTAGAAGTACAGAATACAGTCCGCGGATCCTGTTTCGGTTTCGCAGCTCACTACCACCACTCGTCATCCTCAGTACCCTCGCCAGACACCGTCCCGTCGCTATCGTAGCCACCGCCTTCCTCTCCGCCATAGCCGCTTTCCCACCATTGCCGACCTTTCTCCCCCTCCCAACCATCCGATCGACCATCCCAGACAACTTGATCAACATGTTTGTGCTCGCGCAACAAGTGCAACGTCTCCTCAGCGATGGTGCAATTGAAGAAAGAGAATGATAGGGAGCGCGGAGCGCCTCCTTCGCCCATCATGGTAAGACAATTCAAAGTTTCAGAGACGACGTCCACGCCGACTTTGGCGTTACGGATGATGATCTTCTGAAGGCGAGGAATTGCGGGATATTCGGATAAGAAACCATCCTCTTCCCCGTAAGCACGTAGAAAGGCCCTGGCGGGAGGCCCAGAGAGATCGATGACCTCGACACTCCCCAGATGCTTAAAGATGGTGTGCCAATGCCATGAGACATGAAGAAGCTGACGCTTGTCGACGATAAGACGCGTGAATGCCCCTCGTATACCCGGCAAGACGAGTGTAGTGCGGATGATCTCCAGGTTCTCCTTTATGGAATCAGCAAGGTAGCACGCGCCCAGTTCGAACGTCGGCGGTCCATTGTCGACTGAATTGGGCAACTCTGCGATGATGGCGACTCCCTCGTCTCCATAATTTGGGCCGTAGTCTTGAATCGTCACCCGGCGGAACCCATCTTGCAGGTCAGCCTTGGAAAAGGAGAGCGGGATGGTGGAAGGATAGGATTGGCGCAAATGACGATCGAGGGCTTCTTTCAGTTCGCGTACTAGATTGACGAATTGGACGTTGTACACTCTCGGGACCATGAGATAATCGCCGTTGATGTCGATTTCCGCCCGATAAGGGAGTGAGAGCGCTTGCAAAAGGGGTACGATGCATTCAAACTCCATGTCTAGGTGTAGCCATCTGAGAGATGGCATTGTGACAGACTGTGGACTGTTGTGGACGGGGTGTACGTTGCGGGCGAGTGGGTAACCATGATGATCCGCTGATATTTTGATAACTTTGAGGGTTGGTGATGCGGAGAGGAAGGAAAGGAGGTCGTCGATGGAGTCCCAGAAGCGCTCGCATGATTTCAAGATGAGTGATGTTAAGTTCGCCCGAAGGAGTAGGGACGGAGCGGGACACTTGCAGTAACTGAGCTCAACGTATCTTAGGCAAGGAAGGTTCTTGCCAGAGAAGAGTTCTGGAATCGGTTCGGAGTCCAGCACTGGCATAACTAGTCTCAGCGTTTCAAGTGAAGGAGCTTCGACCTGTGCTAGACGTTCGAGCACCAGGGCAATCGACGAAGAGCGGAGTTGGGCCTCTCGTGCATATTCGACCGTGCCATACCTCTGAGTAGAGTTATAGGTCGCGAGATCCACTGTGACGGAAGTGGCCTTTAAAGTCACCCAGTGACCGTTACATCGGCCTTTAAAGGCCGGTCACACCCTTGAATGCCGGCGTCACGTGGTCTGTTCACCCCGGGCATCCACAGAACTGACAGTAAACAGTGTCACCCAGGGACTCAATTATTGCAAATACAATACAAAATCGACTCGCCATCACTTGTCTCTTGTATCACTCACTGGCTGCAATGATATTTGGCGATCGGCGTACTCCAGCACGGAAGGCTCAACAGAAGCGACGACCTTCCTTTGGCATCCCCGGTCGGACGAATCGGCGTCAAGATATTCCTTCCGGGCGCATCTGTCGTCAAAGTCACGAACCCTCATTGCTCAGTGTCCAAGGTGGCGAGCATGCCGCCCACGTAGGGCGGTTCCATTGTCTTCGAGGTCGCGAGCTGTGTTTCATTCAAGACTTGCGTCAAAATAGGAGTCGCTACGCCATTGCAGAGAAGCCCGCCGATGAGTCCGCCGCGGCATGTGTCCCGTTCGAACAGCTGCAAGTTGTCCCGAGCGCTCGCACTCCGATAGTGCCTTGATGTTGGTTGTATCCTTCGGCTCTCTTCGGACACGCGGATACAAGCATCGTGGAGGTGAAAGCTTGTATCATGGGGTGATACCGGGATGAGGACACCGCACATTGTTTAGCCCATGCAGGCGGCACGAGCGACGCCTGATCGAGGAGGAGGATGGGAGGGAGAACCCGGCGCCGTGATGGCCGGGTTAGGTCCAGGAAATGATCATAGCTCGGTCGCCGACCTCACGCCAGATTGACGACGGGACGCGGTAGATGTCCGCCAACGCCGTGATGAAGGGCGCACAGGCGACCGAGTTACCTTGCAGACCAGGTCGTTGTGTTGAAAGCCGCGCGCTGGTGCGCTCGTCATCGAGCTGGCAAGTTCTACGTCCATCCGCGTGCGCACACGTACGACGCCAATCATCATTTTCCTTCATGACGCTCGACGCGACGTCAACCTCGCTGCCAGTCTCGGACGGGACGACGACGACGGCGCGGTGCCGCCCCTTCTTCTTTGCCTTGGCAGGCGACCCAGCCCGTCGTCAGCCCGCTATCTGGCCGTATAAATCGTGCTGGACCGGCGTGGCGGGGTCGGGATCGGCAATGTGACATTGATGTGACAGCCTCTCTCCCTTTCTTGTCTGTGGTTACCTTCCTGATCTGTCTATTAGTGGAGCGTTGTTCTGTGTAATGTGCTTCGTGACATGTATTTAGACATTGCTACGATAGTCAATGACTCAATTATTGCACAGTATCGGGGGCTGAGCCCATGCTTTGCACAATGCGCCAAAAATTGCTGCCTTTAAAGGCCGCGTCAATCGTGACTTAGTGACTTTAAAGGCCGCGACCGTCACGGCTCCGAGATCAACGTCCAGACTCCGAATGCGTGACATCTCCGCCAGCGTGTGTATGAGAGCCTGCTCGCGTTCGTTGCCGACCTCGTAGAAGGCGGATGACTTTTTCGTCTTTGGACCAAAGCAGATGTGGAAGTCAAGGCGCGCCCCTTTGGAGGCATCGAGGGCTTTTGCGAGGCGTTTCGGAGAGAAGGTGGTCGAGATGGTACTCCAGAGCTCGGGGGTGTGATCCAGGACGACGCTGTGCCACAAGCGGCATACACAGCTGAGGGTGACGATGACCGGAACATTGACCAGCACGGGCTTGTTCCAAGTGATGCGTGGTAAGCCGTCTGCGAGGAAGGAAAAGATGTATGATAACAGCTCGTCGGGCAACTTGTAGATCGGTGCCACGCCAGGAGGGTATTGGCCATGTAGCCGATGTTTAGAGAGATTTCGGAGTTTGGCGAAGACAGCAATGATCTCTACGGCCTCCTTATTCTCTTCGTTGAGCTTCCTTACGGCTTCTATGCGTCCTTCCGGGTCGTCAAGAGACTGTGCCCTTAGACAGGTCACGTAGCTTTGGAAAAGCGAAGGGTCGGAGCTCTGCTTAATGCCCTCCAACAGCCGTGGCAAGTAGGGCTTGAGAAGAAATGAGACATCGAACTGAGTCACAGATAGATGCATACTCTACCTGGATAGTATCTAACACCAATGGGTCTGCAGGTCGATCCATGAGGACTTTCAAGCCTTCCATATACCCGACTCGAAATCCCGCGTCCCGCGGGGCCAACCTTGCTCGGGAGCTCTTGCTCTATAATGGTCGCACTTTAAAGACTCGTTACCAGCTACAAAAGTGCGGAAGACCCGTGAGCTTAGTACATGCGTATGCAAAGGCGAGTCCGTCCATCCAGCGCGCAAGCAAGTGAGCGGGGGCATACATTGGCTGCTTCCGCATTTCTCCCACGGTGGCAGACCGTGCCTGGTGCCATTCCAGGGGGTGCAGGACCTTGCTCGTCCCTCGCAAGGTAATGAAGTCGGGCATGACGTCGGCGATACAGTCGAGTATCCAGTGGTGCATAGGCTCGGTTCCAACCGTGCACCTATGCACCACGAGATTTATTCACTAGTAGATATGCACAACAGCGTGGGAATAAAACATGTCAGAAAAAAAATGTTCGAGAAAAAGTTTAAAAAATGCAAGTAAATTGTAGTCTATATTGTAGTCTATATATCACTTGAAGTAGCTCATGAGGGAAGTCTGCTTCAGAGTCTCTTCTTGCGATTTACGGAGCTGCGACCGAAGCTTACGAAGCTGGGCTTGAAATGCAAGCACATCGAGATCCCCTGCACCGGCGTAGGTGAGGCTTATCTTTTCGAGTGCCGCGCACATCCCATGAAGATCGGAAAAGCTGGGTTCGGCTGTGTCATCGCCGTCGCCAGCCAGCTCGTCTTCTTCGTCGCTTTCCTCGTTGCCGCACTCGGGCAAGACAGGATGCCCTGCTTGTCCGACCGCGACAGCCTTCTTCGCGGCCTCGACAATGCCGAGGTCATCTGACGGGATTCGAGGATCACCGCCGATCTCCTTCTCGTCCTCGTCCTCCAAGAAATCCTCCAGGGCGATGGGCTGGCCGTGCAGGCGATTGCGGTTGTGCAAGTCGTCGAGAACGCCCCGCAGTTGCGCGTCGGTTGCGTCGCGGTCACGCGAAGGTGCGTAACGCGCAGGAGCCTCTTGCTGCGTGCGTGACGCGGCCCGGGTCGATAAACCGCGTCTCTTCGTTTCCTCTGCGTCGAGGGCAGCAAGGGTCGTCTCGAGACCTCCCTCTCCCTCGCATGCAAGGTCGAAGGCACTTTGCCAGTCTGCGGCACGGTAATCCGCGCCCAGAATGGTTTCAACCCGTGACATAACATCGGGCAATGACCACGAACACGCCGGCTCTGCGAATTCGCGCACGAGGGCCCAGGCTTGGGTGTGTCGGTCAGACGTGGTCGTGCTGGGTGCCGCAGTAGAGTTGTCAAGTGCACAAGGCGAAGAGGGTGATGGGGAAGAGGTGGGCTCGCTCGGGTTGGAAGCAGGAATAGGGCTGCAAAATATGTGAGAGATTTCCCCGACAAGTAAGAAGTGTACGCACCCAGCGATGCCTGTGTGACGCCAGCAGTTCTGCACCGTCTCCGCCGTGACCTTCGACCATGCCTTTTTTGCCAGAAGCATTGCTTCTAAGACATCCATCTTGAATAAGTCCTCCTCGCCCGCCTCGTCCAGCTCGACAGCACGAAGGCACTGCATGAGTCGATAATTCCCCTTGAAGCCGCGAATCGCGCCGGCATCGAGTGGCTGAACGAACGACGTCATATTCGGCTCGAAGAACTCGAGCCGGATGTTCGACGGCTTGTAAGCGATGGTGTGGCCAGAGAAATTATCGAGAAGCAAGAGGACATGGCGGTTTTGACGGCGAAAGTCAACGTCGAGATCGCGAATGTACCTGCGCTATCGTGAGCCCGAGTTCGATCATGACGACTTCGATACGCACTCGTCAAACAGAGCCGAGGTCATCCATGCCTTTTTGTTGGAACGATAGAGGAGGCCAAGAGCCGTCGGTTTCTTCTTCTTGAAGCATCGAGGGCTTTTGGCGTTGTTGATAAAGAACGGTTCGTAACGATCGCCGGCGCGGCTGACCAGAAAGCCAATGGTGATCCGCTTCTTATTCTGCTTCTTGCCAGACATTTTCTTCGTTGCGAATCCCCGGTCGGGGACAGCGCTAGGCAAAGTGAATAAGGATGCAGTACATTTATCACAGATAACTAAAAGGGCTTACAACGTAAACAAGCCACTCTCGTCAAAATTGAGTGTATCCTTGGGGTCGTACTGAGCGATGATTGGCGCGAGACGTGCCCGCTCTTTCGCGACGGCTTCAAGATCTACACTTCCGGCCTCGCCATGGCGCCGAAGTGTCTTTAAACCGTAGCTAGATCTGAAGTTAGCAATGGGAAAAAATCCACCGAGCTTCTGAGTGCTTACGCATTCGTGAAGTTCTTTAGCCAACCATTGCTTGTCATGCGTTCCTCCTGCGGAACGTCGAACAGTTGCTCGAAACGCGCCCGTTTCGCTTCAAGCATCGGGCCGTTGGGTGTTTCCCCGCGTGCCTCCATGCTCTGTTGCCAAAGCCAGAGTGCGTGTTCAACATCTGGGCGTGTGACAACACGAGCCCGCTTCATGCTGAGCGCATTCGCGGTTGAAGTGCGCCGTGCTTCGAGAGCAGCACGACCTTCGGCATTCATATTGCGGGAAAGAGCGGACTGGCTGAAGATGAGCTTCCCCTCAGCACGTTCCCGAAAATGGGCAACGACGGCCGGCTGTGTCATGCCAGGATTTGCGTCGACAAAATCTCGGACTGTGATCCAGTCACCGAGAGTCAGATTCTCGCGAGAAGCCTTGACAGGCTGTGCCGAGGTCTTATACGTGGGCTTCTTTGGACCCGTCTTGTTTCGGACATAGGGCGTGGTGGGTTTGGTGCGCGGGCGGCGGCGACGTACGACGAGCGGAGCTTCCGCAGGGCTGCTGGGGTCGTCGGCCATGAGTTCAAATGGCAACCGCACCCGCTATTTTACACTATTTATAATTTACTTGAAACGTGAACCGCAGTCCGAGAGCTACAGTAACAGCGAGAGCTGCTATGCAACACTAATGGGCGCTGTGGCGCACACATCGCAACCGCGGAGAGCGAAGCCCGTCCGGACCCGAGCGGGAACCCGGAGTTTTCCGGTGCATAATCGCCGAATAACTCCATGCATTATGCAGCATGGCGATGCATGCATAGATCCCCGCTCCCCGCCCTCGTTCCCTCCCTCCAGCTATGCATGATGGCATTTATGCGCCATCATATCATGCATAACTGGATACTCGACTGTAGTTAGAGTTGGCGACATAGATGTAGGTTCGAGAGGTTTGCAGCGCACTATCGCTGTGCTGATTTGACGAGTTGGAGTAGAGATGTGGTGGTGGTGGTGGTGGTGGTACGAAGACGACAAGACGCAAAGCAACTTGAACTCGAGAAACGTTGGACGTTGGAAGCCCGACTCCCTTTGTCGGACGCTCTTCGTCGGCGGAAGGGGCAATCAGGGACAAATATGAGCAAATATCCGACGAGGACCGATAAGACGGGTTTCACTCCGAGACTTCACCCTGTCCGTTGTACACCGTGCAGGGGTCCATATTCTATATGGTCATACGCGTTCCCGCAGACTTCGCGAGCGTTTCGCGGGCGTTACAGAAGACCAGGAGATCTCGGGATTCGGGTGTCGACAGTAGCCGCTGCGTGAGATGCCGAGAAGATGCCGAAGTCACGTTAGCGTATTTGTATCTATTTGCGAGGCTGGGCCTGACAGGGTCTCGGGGGATTTGGAGGCTCTCTCGCGACCACCACCTTCCCCCGCCTCGCGGACCTGACCCCTTCCTTGCACTCTTCCCAGCGCCATTACTGTACCTATCCCATCGACATTCCGCAAAATATCATACATTCACATTGAAGATCAAACACGGACATGTCATTGACGCTCCGGCGTTGAGCTCGACGCCCTATCAAGAAGGTGTAGAGTGCGTGGATACAAGGCGCCGTGGTTCGTATCCCTTTTTCTGTCTCATTTGTTCTTTGTGCGTGAAGTCCAAGTGTCATTTCTCTCGTCTCCAAATTTTGGAGTGGACAGGCGAGGCGGAACGGGCGCAGGCCGAAAGGCGCACTCGGCGCGATTGCCTGGGAGGTGCATATCCAGGCGTGGGAAATCCGCACCTTCCGCCTCTAAAGGAGACTTTTTCGGTTTTGTTCGCGCGCGCATCCGGCTTGTTATAAGCCGTGACTATATCTTCGAGGAGGCCGGGCTATGCTCTATGAGATCACGCTCCGCCTGTATGGGTCGCGTCAACGAAGAGGTTCACCATACAACGTCCGGGTGTTGGTGCGCGCTGTCCAAGGAGCGACGTTGTGGTGTACCGTCAGCGCGCCATCGCATGTATCGTGGTGTATCCGCCTTGAGAGGGGGCAGATCCTGTGCATTATTATTACTCACATGCATGCAATGCCATATCATTCCCTATATTCGTCTTGTCTGTCGGTGGACCACTACGTGTGGCGTACGAAGCCGTGACTGTTTATAGATATGAAGAACAAGTGTCAACGAAGGGCGAATCTCGTCGATGCGGCGCCGACATCCATCCCAATACGCTATAACAAAAGGCAGACTTCTTCGTCGTTATGTCGGTTACCGTTACGCGCGGCACCGGCGGTACTGGAGTAATATACAGCAGGACGCCATTGGCGTTACCAGCCACGACGACCATCTACCTGGGACTACATCGTCGCCTACTGTGATCAATCACAGCCAGAAGTACCAGACCGAAGCTCACCTCAGCCCGAGGAATATCACTGTCGCCCTCAAGTCTATATTGTGGTTGTGGTTGATGCGAATCGTCGTTCGCGGCGGCGGCCAGCCCTGTCCATACAATATCTCCGGACGTCCTCCGTATCTGTAGGTACCTCCTCCAAGGCTCTTCGTTCACGCTACGACCTTGACTTGATTCCTGTTTCTCCCAGCGGTCAATCTTGTTGTCATGTATTACTACATACCTAGCGTAGACCTTGTAACTGTCGTGGGCGTTGCCGAGAGAATAACATGATGTTTTTCACCCCATGTGGATGTGCGACGACTCGACCTTGTCTCTTGACCATCATCAGTCGTTGAGCGACGACTTCATATCTCCACTCACGCATACTCGCTATAATTGCAATATATCAACCTTACGACGCAAGCACACACTATGAGTAGTATTGGCTCTGAACAAAGGGTCTGTGTCGCTGTCGTTGGCGCTGTCGTCGTCGTGGGACTGACTGGCTGGGTGGCGGTGACAGAAAGCAGCGCTAGAGAACCTCAAGTTCAAACGCAAGAACAGGCCGAGCAATAACGTAGCGTCTGGTAGCGCGACGCCAGTACCGACGCCACCGCCAGTGTCGACGTCGTCCATCTCGACGTCGTCATCGTCGCCGCCGCCATGGGCGCGAGGGGCGCCGCCGTCGCAGTCGCGTAATGGTGCCGCGCCGCTGAGCAACGGGCGCGTCTTGCCTCAGACCCCGATCCTCGGCAATGTCCTCGTTCCAAACTCAAGTCCCCTGGGCGCCGCCCCCGACGCCAGCTTCAGCAGCGCCGAGGACGGCGAGATCCCCGGCCTCAATTATTCTCAGCCGGTCCCGCCACCACCACAATCACCCGTGAACGCGTCCTTCCGCATGGATCGTCTCACCAAACCGTCTGGCTTCGCAGGCATCCCGAACCGCACGCTCGCCGGCCAGGTCAGGTCCCGCGACGCCGTTGATGCCAACTGGTCGTCGGAGCCGCCGAAGAAGCGCCCGAATTATGGCCCGCCATCGGCCGCGTCGATCCCTCCAGCGCCATCACCAGAGTCCCCAGAAGTCATCAGGGCAGGCCAGCGCCGTCGCCCAGCGGCCGCTACTGCTCGCGATCGTGTCACAAACATATCCACGTCATCAGACGATGCCTTGCCGACGCCCCCGCCACGGCCGACACCGACGCCCTCGGCCCGCGCCACACCCACCACCGCCATCAATATTCACGCCAAGGGCGGGCGCTCCGAGGAGGAGGAAGCTCGCTTTCAGAAATTCCGTCTGGCGTATATCGTTCTTCCTGCAGACGTCGTCGAGACGGCCTGGATCCATGTCAGTGGGGACAACGGCCGCGCCGCAAAGTTGCTCGAGGACAATGCATTCGTCTCGGGCAAGTGGAAGATGCTGCGGGATCAGCAGCAGGGGAAGCCGCCTCCCGTCTCTACTCCCACCCGCGCTGCCACTGCCACGCCGACGAAGGGCAAAGTGACCGGACCACCGTCAGACGGCGCCGGTGAAGATGCTGCTTCCGGAAATCCTCATTCGAAAGGCCGTCGCTCCGCGAAGGAGGAGGTTGAGTTCAACAAGTTTCGGATTCAGAATATCGTATTCGAGACGAATAAAGTCGAGGCTGCCTGGGTAGCCTCCAGTGGAAACACCGCGCTCGCCACCAAGTTCGTTGCAGACCCCAACTTCCAGTGGAAGCAACCGCCCCGGCCGCGAGCCCCGTCGTCAGGATCTGGAGAGGGTCGCAATAAGGAAGTTGAGGAGAAGGTTCGTGCTGAGCGTCTTGCTGCGAAGGAGCGTGGCAAGAAGTCCGCTATCTACGCGAAACGTGCTGCTCTCGCGAGCCCGGAGAAGACTCGTGGAGAATCTGCGACACCGGCACGCCCATCCCCACCCGCCTCACCTGAAGTTGTCGCGCGCCGCGGGAAACGTCCGCGTCGGCTCATCGAGTCAGATGGCGAGGAAGACGACCTCCCGACACCGGCCTCGGATGCTCCGCCTGCGCGCATCAAGCGCCGCGTCATGACGTCTGAGGAGCCCGAGGACGAGCAAGACGACGACGACGACGAAGGCGAGGTCGAGGTCGTCTCCAAACCTGTGGCCATCGTTCGTGAGGCTCGTGCACCCCGGACGGATGCACAACGTGCGCTCGAGTACTTCAACACTCAGAGTGCAGACCTTCTCCGCGAGCTCACAGGTAAAGATGAATGAAGCTAGCGATATTGCTGCCATACTCATACTATATCAGGTTGTACTGAGATCCAAGCCACTGAGATCATCAAGCTACGGCCGTTCGCGAATGTCGCGGATCTGAAGGAGCGCCTTGGCCAGGGCAAGAAGAAGGCCGGTCCGGCGAAGATTAGCCCACGGATGTTCGAGGACTGCGTCGAGATCTTCGAAGGTTACTCGGCTGTCGACAACGTGCTCGATCAGTGCGAGGACATTGGCGCGGACTTGCAGGCTCGCATCGCGCGGTGGACGACCGGTGGGAAGACACCCCCCAGCAAGGGCAAGGACAAGGCGCACAATCCCGCTCTTGGCGAGGACGTTTGGGAGGATGGTGCTCTCAGTTTGCGTAGTGTCGCGAAGGCGTCGAAGGACTTCCTCAGCCGCCAACCCAAGATGATCAAGGAGGGCGTTCAGCTGAAGGAGTACCAACTGCTAGGACTGAACTGGTTGCGTCTCATGCATCAGCAAGGCCACAGCGGCATCCTCGCCGACGAGATGGGTATGTCTTTCTCATTACACTTTTGCCTAACGGGCTTCATCTGACTCCACGCGCAGGTCTCGGCAAGACCATCCAAGTCATCAGTCTCTTCGCGCACCTGCACGAGACAGGCAACAAGGGCCCGCACCTCGTCTGCGTCCCTTCCTCGACGCTCGAGAACTGGGTTCGCGAGTTCGACAAGTTCGCGCCGGACATCGTTGTTCAGACGTACTACGGCAAGAAGGATGAACGCGTCGGTCTTCGTGCGGAGCTGCTGGAGTCGATGGCACGCGACGGCAAGAAGGATGGCTGGGAGGTCCTCGTCACGACGTACAACCTCGCTAGCGGCGACGAGATGGACAAGAAGTTCTTCCGCAAGGTTCAATGGGACAGCGCGGTGTTCGACGAGGGGCACATGCTCAAGAATTGCGACTCCTTGAAGTACAAGGCGCTCATCCGTTTTGGTGGTCGCTGGAAGCTGCTGCTCACCGGCACGCCGCTACAGAATAACTTGCAAGAGCTTGTCGTATGTCCCTTTCGTTCGCTTTCGTTGATCATCCCCCACTCATCATCTCTGTAGTCGCTTATGAACTTCATCCATCCCAACATCCTCGGGCCAGAGATGGACGCCCTGCGCGCGGTGTTCAAGACCAAGGGTGACTCGAAGGTTGCGCTCCTCGCCAAGAACCGTGTAACCCGCGCGAAGCGCATGATGACGCCCTTCGTCTTGCGCCGCCGGAAGGATCAAGTGTTGAAGGACCTTCCGCGGAAGATTGAGCGAATTGAGTGGTGCGACATGACGCCGCTCCAACGCAGGCTGTACGACGAAGCCGTCGCTCGTTCGCGCAAGACGGCCCTCGAAGTGGAACCGACGGCCGACGAGGCTGCCGGTACCAGCAAAAAGAAGAAGGCGCCGAGCAAGGCCAAGGAGAAGAAGTACCTCGAGAATAGTTCGAACGTGCTGATGGACCTTCGCAAGGCGAGCAGTCATCCGATGCTGTTCCGTGTCAAGTTCGACGATGCGGTGCTCGGGAAGATCAGTCGTCTGTTGGTGAAGGAGGACGATTACAGGAAGTATCAGGCGAACGAGGTGTTCGAGGAGCTGTCGTTTTGGCCGGATATGGAACTGCAGCGAACGTGCTTCATGTACAAGGTATGCGGTCGCTTTGCGCGCTCGGTTGGGATGAATCGCTGATACTTTCGCAGGCGCTCACTCCGTATATCCTGACGCCTGATTGCTTGTACACCTCCGGCAAGGTCACCGTGCTCCTCCAGCTTATCAAGCGGTACAGGGAGGAAGGCCGCAAGATGTTGATCTTCTCTCAGGTATGTCGCCACGCTGTCCAGCTGTTTTGTTCACATACTTACTATCGTGTAGTTCGTCCAGAATTTGGACATCATTACTGCGATTCTTGACCACGAGAAGACGAAGCACCTGATTCTGACGGGTCAGACGCCGGTCGATCAGCGCCAAGCGCTATGTGACGAGTTCACCGAAGACAATGACATTCCCGTCTTCTTGCTGAGCACGAAGGCCGGCGGTATGGGCATCAACTTAACCGCGGCGAGCGTCGTCATCCTCTTCGACCAGGACTTCAACCCGCACAATGACCGTCAAGCTCAGGATCGCGCATACCGTATCGGTCAGAAGCGAGACGTAGACGTCATCAAGCTCATCACGCGCGCGAGCATCGAGGAGGACATGCTGAGGCTCGGACAGACGAAGCTTGCGCTCGATGCGGCCGTTGCGGGTGACGGGACTGAGGAGGCCGGAGAAAACGTGGAGAAGCAATTGAAGACGAGTTTGGTGGATATGCTGAGGAAACAGGCGAAGGAGGGCGAGACTCAAACCCAGGCGCTGGCATAGACGAGGAGCGCAGAAGGATCTGACGTCGCACATTTGAATTGCTTTCTTTCTTGCTCTGTCGAAGACTGGTAGACACAACATGCATCCCATTTCTTGTATTACCCCCCACACGCATCATACATCGTTTCCGCGCCACTATATCTGATTCTTTCTATCACTAGCACAATTTGTCTGGATGCAATACTATATCACGGATTTGATTGCCTCATTGTGTCGCTGCTGCCGCTGTGGCATAATCTAGATTGCGCTTCCGTTCGCTGTAGTCCCAGCGATCCATCCCTGTTGTCAAGTTGAGCGGTTGAAGGGCTCGCTCGGCGATGACACGTACCGCCAAAATCCACCTTCATTCCATGGAATGCCATGTTGACTTGCATCTCGGTGATATGCGATGCGCGCACTCTCCAGCTATCGCCGCTGCGGGTGTCCCGGTCAGGGTCGTCTCAATGTCCATACGCTCTCACGGCAAACAGAGGCAGAGTGCACTCACGTTGCGGTACCGTACACGTCGCCTTCAAGATTGACCATTCTGACAGCACCATCCACGTTCGACTGCGCATCGTAGACCCAGAGCGAGCGCCCGCGATAGATCTCTTGGAAGCCGTTCAGGTCGATGAGCCGGTGTCCGGGCTTCACCCGCTTCGTCCCTGAAGGCACAGCAGGCGCTGGACGTACGTCCGCGTCTGCAATCAGCCGGAGGAGTGCGAGGTTTGGCATGTCGACGACCCGTGCGCGCTCCGCGTCTGACGTGAAGTCGAGGACAGAGAAGAATGTTAACGGCGCTGGAGATGCACTCGCTGCCCCTGAAGCACTCGGCTCCGTACTCCCTTCCACTGCCATATCTTCATCTTCCTCGCTCGAGCTGTCACTCCCATCCCCTTCGTCGGTCCCGGGCTCCGCTGATGTAGCTTTTGGGTCGTCTTCCGCGAGGATCTCTGCCTCTGACTCTCGAAGGAGCGTGCAGAACTCGATCCACGCAGCATCGTTTGAATAGTCGGCGCGAACGATGACTCCTGGGGCGGCACTCAGTAGCGCGTCCACCGGGTCTGCATCCTTGGTAGACGGGGACGATGCTAGCTCTTGCTCTGTGAGGGAAGTCTGGAGGGGCCCAAGTGATGCTATCAACCGGCGTTCTTATCTGATAGTAGGATTGTACTGCTTACCGGCCCAGTAGCGATCGCTGCCGCAAGCGCCGCAGCGTCGAGACGGAAGAAGTCATCGACAACCCGTAACCTGAGATCTCGACGGCCAGCTTGCGGAAGCCCAGAGCGCAAGATTGGATAGGTTTCCTATTCGCGTTGCAGAGACAGCATGCAGGTAGGAAACTTGATCCCTTACTTACTAGAAGGAAACGCTGGAAGACGGGAGACAACGACGTCATTATCGTAATGAGGTACTGTATCATCGTTCAATATCTCAATAGTTATCCCACGGACGTCATGTAGAACTTGGGAGTGTGTTTAAGCACGGTAGATGGCCAGGAACCGGTCTAAGGAAATTCCGCAGACGAAGGGTGTGGCGTAGAAGGCATCGGCAGTTCACTCACATTGTGCTTGACTCAACGAGTATGAGAAGCTTGAGAGTCGTAACGTTGCTCGCTGAGGCCTGAGGAAGGAAGATCTTCGTCGACGTCGGGTTCAACTCTTGAGCGTGAGAGGCGCCACAAGCCAAGGATTTTCTCCGAGTGCTCACATTCACGCGCGGGTGTGCAGAGCCTGCCACTACGCAGAACACCAAGCAATACTCTCTAGTCGGGTATAACTGGATACAGGCATAGGCAGCCATTTCGCATTTCTTAAGATTGTAACCTCTCAGCGGTTCCTAAGAAGAGGTGCTACAGACACGAGGCTTTGCTACGATGCTACAGGCTCGCATGCATTCAAAACATCCCCGACATGCGACTGTCCAGTGATCATCTTTAGTATTTGGTGTATGAAACATGCGAAGCAAAGAGCCGTGGGCGATCTATCTTCGCGAACAGGTCGAGCAGAAGTTCGCGACCGGGGCCCCCCTCTGCAGTCCACGCTCTGTGAACCTTGCACGGTTGATATCAGTCTACATGCGTTGCACGCACAGAGGTCTGAGTACTCACATCGAAGCTCTCCCATCCGATGAGTAGTATGACGGCGTCCGACTCCTCTAATACGGTCCCATAAGTGGCGGCGTTGCACACCTCCGCTCCGGCAGCCTTGAGTGCATCTGCGCCACGTTCGCCCCACTCCACAAGCGCTGCTTTGTCTACACCCTCGCGAGGATGGACGAATGCATGCTCAACGAGCTTCCCTGAGAGGGTCTCGGTAGGATTGGTCGCGTAAGTGACCGTGATAGTCTTCAGCCCAGCCTTTGCGGCAGAAGGTAGCACATCACTCAGTGTGGCATGCGCGGGCGATGCAGCGGACTTGAGAGTCGACAGGAAAGCGAACGGAGGTTCCTCGACACGGACACCGAGGTAGTGACTAGATTCACGTTTAGTACAAGTTCTGTTTGGGGGATTGACGACGAGTACTGACGGTGTATCGGCCTGCTTCCTGATAGCGGCAAAGTCGAGAGCCGGGTTCTTGGCCGCGTCGTCGTCGGCTGGCCAATATGAGACCGTGTATGTATAGTCAGACATGAGGTTGATAGAGGGATGCTCTACTTGTCGATGGGGCAGGGCGCAAGCGTTATTATACTCTGAGAAGCATCTGCGACCCACGTTTCGCCGCTCGCGGGACATCCGTCGGCTGAGAAAAGAGCAGCTGGTAGACGGAGACCACACGGATCTGAAGGGACTTCGTGCAGCGCTCTAGCAGTTGCGTCCGCCTCAGACGGGATTGCCGCGTATAAGTCCCTACATAAGCGTTCATGCGCGGCCGCTATGGAAGATACTCGGCCAGATCTCACGGCCTATTGGGGCGGCACGTACTCTCGGAATGGGCCACTACATTTGTGGACTCCACGGACGTGCCGCTGGCTCTTGTCAAGCAATCTGTTACGCGGAGCATAGGAGCGCGTGCGAATGATGAAGATGTCACGGCCGGGGTGCATCCGGGATACTTGAGAGGCGTGCGTATGTTGCCCTCTGTACATGTTGTACTGCTTCAAGCGTCCATGAGACGGACTACTCTGTAGCACAATGGACACCGCAACGGCCATAGGGTGGAGGTAATGGGGGATGTATATCATAGGTCTCGCTCGACAACCTGTCATCACTATCATACCGCCGAGGTTCTTGATCCAGCAAGACGGTCTGCGACCTATTGCAGTATGGTCAGCTGTGGTGACGGGCGCGGGCACAGGGCGGACGTACATCTCGCACGTATGGAAGCGCAAGGAAGTTGCCGATATATGGCAGTTGGCGTAAGAACGTCAAGATCACAGGGAAGAAGTCTCTAATCCACGGTCAGTGCTTCTTCGAGGTGACATATACTAGTAAGGACGTACCCAAAGAGGTTGAGGAAGCCAAATGTTTCCAAAATGACCCCGAAGAATGGCCACTTCAGGAATACAAGCAGGATCCCGCCGAGGAAGCACAGCGTGCCTCTCAACTTGTTCTTCCGCGCGAAGAAGTAGAATGTCTTCTGAGGACCGATGATCAAGAATAAACCACCAAGGAAGAGGACCTGCGAGAGTCGTAGAGTGTGCATTGGTATGGAATCGGCGCGAGTAGGTAGAGCCTCACGTTTCCAAGAGCGAGTAGTGCTCCGTCAAAGAACAGCATAACGCCGAGCAACATGAACAGGCCGCCGAAGGTAGTGAGGGCCACCCCAATCTCTGTTCTCCAGTCAGTACTTGTGTCGCTTGCATTGGATGGAACGCACTTTGCATGTCCGTGAGCCACATATCTATGAACGCGTTCGAGAAAGGACCAAAATAGGAATAAGATGGTTGGTGCTGGTCCACAGCAAGCGCGACTTGGCGCATTCGCGCGCGTCGCGAGCCACGTATCGGTGACACGATCACATGGGTTCTCCCCACCATGCTTCGTACGCGGCCCGCTCTCCGCTAAGATTCTAGTCTCAGATGCTTTTCAGGCGCATGTCAAAGAAGAAGGGTGATTGATAGGTGTACAGTATGTCATAATATACTCGAACTATACATAAAGACCCGAGGAAGTGATGTGATACAGATAGCTATGCCGTACTACTAGTGCCCCAGTTCCAAACCTCACTGATCCATCTCGCCATGTTGACCTTGCGCCGGGCAATGTCTACAATCCATGGATGATGTAAAAGCTCTTTGGGCGTCGGTCGATGATGGGGATCTTTGGTCAGGCTATTCATACGGTTAACTGGTGCCGGAAAGATCGCGGAAGGCGGACCGGCTTACGATAGCGCGATGAAGTCCTTCATGGCAGAACTCCATGGAGTAGAGAGCGTCGGATCATCTTCTAGAGTCGGAGGCGTACTCTGGCTGATGTGTAGCATGAGTTCGAAGGGTGCGAGGTCTCGCGGGTACGGGAACTCGTTCTGTGTGAGTTCGAGTACGCTGAGACCCATCGACCACACGTCGGCACGAATACCGTAGTCAGAGCCCGATATCCGCTCAGGCTGTATCAGCATCAGTACAAGTACTACTGTGGGTAGGTTCTGAATCTGATCCTCACCGCCATATAGCAAGTCGTGCCCATGAAGGTCTGTGCTACGGATTTGACAAGTGTCCCGGAGACGCCGAAGTCGCAGAGTTTCACCACTCCTTTCCGCGTGAGGAGAATATTCGAAGGCTTGATGTCGCGATGGATAAAGTGTTTGGTGTGTAGATAAGACAGCCCCTGAAGAACCTAAACAACCACGCGGTGATGTTGGGTTAGCCACGGAGAGATGGACTGAATGCTGTGAACGTACGCCCTCTGCAACTCTCCCAGCGACCTTTTCGCCGACCCGACCTTGACGCCGTCGGATCTCAAGTCCCGCATCCTCCAGACTACGCCCCTCGCACAGCTCCATGAGTACCTTCACCTCGCTCGATGAGGGTGACATGTATGCGCCGTAGAATCCAGTGATGTTGACATGTTCAAGCGTAGAGATGATGGATAGCTCGCGCAGCACATACTTCAACGGGCTGCCGCGGGTGACAATGGTTTTGCGCGCATAGCATTTGCCTAGAAAACGTACGAGACTCGGAATGCGATCGGATGATGAGCAAAGACAACGTGCTTACCCGTCCGCTTATCCCGTACTGCGTGCACAGCTCCACCGACGCCTTCACCTAACCGTGCAAAGGCGTGAAGCACATCATCCGACCAATCCCCATGGGGCGAGCCGTCCAGACTGGAATCTTCGTCGCTTGAGCTGGAGTCAAACCTCTTGATAGCGGACCGCACGTCGTCCAGTGAGACGGACTTCGACAGCGCGCGTGGTCGGCGTGGTGTGAGGAAGTTCGTCGATGTGGGTCGGGCCGTCTCGTTGCCGTAGTCATACTGCGTCGAGTGGTTCGGGATATCCAGGTGCAGGCTCTGCGATCCAAGGGCGGAGGTGACGTTCATGCTTTGCGTACGGGCATGCATTTCGGCGCTTGTGTGCAACTTCAGAGATGGCCGAGGTCGTGGCTTTATGGGACGCGGAACTGTGGGTTGGGCGTCAAAATGGGGGGAGAACGGATGTGATGAAGAGAAGTTTGAGGAACGAAAGACTCACCGTCAATAGGAAGACGCTGTGAGTGTAGGGAAGCTGTTTCAGCTGTCCTGTAAGGCGGCATGGTAGACTCCGTTAAACCAGACTGTAGAGCGCCGGTGTGGGCATCGCCGTCTGGACCACGCGAAAGATGGAGAGTGTATGATTATAAGGAGCTTGGAACGTTTCGGGACAACGTTGCAGGGATCAAGAAGGTGTCTGTAGCGAGGGTTAGCCCTGCCAGTGTGAGTTACGGCCCACCGTATCGGAAGATATCGATGCATGGCCTGTGAAGCCGCATCACGGCAAGCTGGTAACCTCACCAGGCCAGAAGTAGAAACGGTTTCGAATCAGCGATCTGCAGCGCGAGAACCGCTAGCACAGCATGATGTGAGCAGACAGAAGAAGATGCGGGTCACCGGAAACTTGAACCGCGTGCTGTGGACTCAACATCACCGACTTTGCTGACGAAGACGTGTTTGGACGGCGTTCTGCGGACGCGGCACATAGAAAGGCCAAGCCTCAAACGGGCGCAGTGCGGTTTGTATTGGTTGGTGACCGTGCGCATCGGCAAGCAAGCAAGTAGTTTTGCTTTGTGAAGAAGCCAACTTGAGTTCTGAGGACGACAGCGACAGGACCATCATCATGAGAGCGCGCGCGCAAACAGAGCATGCGGACGCGGCCCGAGTTACGCCCGAGTCCACAGAGACCGATCTACAAGTCTACAGTTGTATCAGGCCGCGGCCTGCCACACTCTACCAGGCAGCCCGAACAAGCCTCCCCGTCTCACAATCTCCTCCATCGTATCGCCATTCAGGTTTGCGCCCAGTGCACCGCGAAGCTCTACCTCCACGCCGCGCGGTTTGTCGGCGTTGAACGAGACCGCAAGGTCTACGAGGCCCGTGATGGGCGCGCGTTCGGGGAACCTAGACAGCAGTGATGTCCGCGTTGGTGGAGTGAGAGATGCGTCGTCAAAGATCGAGTCCGGCGCCGGCGCAGGACCGGTGTGTATGATGACCGTCACGGGTATCTTTGTAGGTGTGAGCGTACCGGCGAGGATCGCGTCCAGCTCGTCCTCCGTCGCGTTGACCGGTCCAGTATCATCTTCTACGGCTGTTACGACACCTGGAGTGTTCGGCTTCCATTCACAGAGCCTGAGGCTCTCATTCAGCCAGCACTGTTCCCGAACAATCTATCCCAAAGATAATCAGCTCGTACAGCCTATGTCGGATACTCATTGTATACGCACCTCCATGATAGCCCATGCTTCCTTCATGCTATACACCTGCACGCGTTCCAACATGAACCCTGGCTCCTGCATTCCGCTGACACGTAGATCTAGTGGAGGGTGAGCACTAGATGGTGATGTCTGCCCGCACGTAAGAGTTAGACAGATGCATGGTAAGTATGGGATGATGGGACTCGTACGTAGAGAGCGGTATAGCGTTCCGGCGTGGGGTGCGTTTGGTTTGGACTCAAAACCATATCCAGCCACGTTCTGCTTGTCCCAAAAGAGAGGGATGTTGCGCCAGTTTGCATGGAGCCCAGGTCGCCTAACGGGTTAATGACTCCTTCGATCTCACGCATTCGCGTTTGACTGAGTACAACGCCGGGTGTCAGGCCGCGGTTCGTGAAGTCCAACACCCATACGTGACCGGGGTTCAGACTGTTTGCGGTTGTGGGTAGAGGCAGAGTGTGATCCATGGTGTTGGCCTCCGGAGACAAAGTGAAAATCGGTCTACTGTGGAGGAGTTCCGCCGAAGTTGACGTCCGGAGGGAGGAGGAAACGGGCACAACAGCGAGTGTTGCCAGACATACGCCTGGCAATTGCGGTTGTACGGCTAGGTGATGTCGCAGATGCTGAATTGAGACGTCGATGATGGGGAGAGTGGCTGACGGGGCAGGCACCGGTGTGCTCTTCTTGAGCGCCAGATAAGCTCGCGGTGAGAGATGAACCAAGAAAGACAGAGTCGGAGAGACGAGATATGGTAGAGCTATGGCATGCCCGCGTTGAAGTAGCTTATCCAGCGACGCATAGGGCTGACCCTCTTGCCTGCTCACGGTCAGCTATCTGCGGGCTCTTTTGCGAAGACAATCCTCACTGTTTCAAAGCGTCTGCCTCCATCTTTGCCACACTCTCCAACATAACGCCGAGGCGGTCAATGTCCTGGAACCACCTGATCCCACCATCATCCTCCGTAGTAGCCAGTCGATCCAGCTCCATGAGATACTTCAGTCCATCCTGCACGCGAAATCCGATCTTGGCCGCCTGTATAGGGTTCGCCTCCTCTCCCTTTTGCACCTCGTCCGCAAAGGCTTGCAGTCCGTCATAGAAGACGGCGCCTAACGATATTGATCCCTCCGTCGTCTGGGCACTCTCACTCGGAACCGCGAATGACACCCGTACGGCCGAAACCTTCATCCTCGGGCGAATATCCAGCTCAACATCAAGAACGAGCACCTTGCCTCCCAAAGCAATCGTGCGTTTCTCTCCGTTCTCCGTGTCTTCGGGAAATGTGTCCATGCCGGCCTTGCCGCCCCACGCGACGATGCGCGAGACGAACCAATCGCCCAACGCGTTCTCATCGAGAGGGATGTCCTCGCCATACGCTCCTGGCGGTCGCTTGTCGATGACTGACATGAGCTCTCCCACGCCCTTAGCTATCTAGCTGCCCGCACAGTCACGCACACCGCCTACACTGCATAGCACTGAATGCGCACCAGATGCTTTGCTTGCAACCCACGCGAGTGTTCCCGAAGTATAGACACCATCTTGGTGTTCTGCAGCGGCACGTTGGCCAGAGATGTCGTACTTCGCAGAATATCATTCGTGGTCCCAAGAAGTGTGCGAATTGCGGTCAAGTTGGTCTCATATGACGCGGAGAATGGATGCAGGCCATCTGTGGCGAAGGCATCGGGGAATTGGTGTAGCGACGATAGAATAGTCGGAGGGACAGTCTCCTGTGTCATATTGGCTGACGCAAGGACAGGATGTGCCAGCACGGGCTACTGTGATGCCCCAAGCTCGTAGCGTCAAGCGAGGATGGACGTCGGTCGCAAGTTCACTGGTCCGCACGACGCGCCGCCGCTTGAACGCGGTCTTGTGACAGACGCGGATGATCTAATCGCCTTCGATAATAAAAAGCCCGTCGATCGACAGCACGCATAGTAGCTACATACACGGTCTCATACAAGTCCATACATCGATCCCGGCTCAAGCATATCGCACAGCGAAGGTTGGGCGCACGACTGCATTTTTGGGTGTGTGGTACAAACAGATGATATGAGACTGCAATCGAACATCCCGCATACAACAACAACAAACGACAAAGGCCAGCCCGTCGCTCATGACGAAACGGTCCAGACACGGATGAGGTTGTCGGTGAAGCCGCCGAAGAGGGTCTGGCCGTCGGCAGACCATGCGATGGAGACACACTCCGGGACCTTGCCGTAGGCAACGTCGTACTCAGGCTTGAGCTCGTCGACAATCGACCTGGACAGTCGTGTCAGTTAATGAAATCAAGTAGTTCATAACATTGCACGTACTTGCTCTCAAGGTCGAAGATCTTGACGCACTTCGCCGTTGCTGCGCACAACCAGTAGCGGTTGGGCGAGAAGACGAGGGCGTTGACGATGTCACCGGCCTCAAGGGAGTAGAGGTGCTTGCCCTCGTTAAGGTCCCAAAGCATGGTGATACCGTCCTTGCCGCCTGATGCAGCAAGCGAACCGTCGGGAGAGACCGAGACGGTGTTGATGTAGCCGGTGTGGCCGTAGTGATTGGTCTTGAGCTTGAACTTGGAGAGCTCCCAAACCTGCGATGATTCGTCAGCATGGACATTGGATGTGGGATTGTCAACGCGTGAAGTCAGAGATCTTGGTGATAATTGGTTAGTCTCACAGGGCCACTGCCCTCTGAAGTAGCAAATATTTCGAATGCATCATTCTGACAGGACACATCGGGATTGTATCTCACCTTGACGACCTTGTCCCAACCGCAGGAGACAATGACCGGGTTCATGACGTTGGGCGAGAAGCGGACGCAGGAGACCCTGATTGTAGGACTGAGTCTGGCGTAGAATATATAGATTAGATGTGCACATACCACTCGGTGTGGCCATCCTCCTTAATGTCGTACTTGCACTCGCCAAGGGTGTTCCAGAGCTTGATCGAGCGGTCGCGGGCGCCAGAGACGATTTGCCTGTTGTCGGCCGAGAAGCTGACGGAGAGGACGTCGGAGGTGTGTCCGACGAAGCGGCGGGTGGTGACGCCGGTGTTGAGGTCCCAGAGGCGGAGGGTGTGGTCCCACGATGCGGAGAGGGCGAACTGGCCGTCGGAGGAGATGACGACGTCGGAGACAAAGTGGTTGTGGCCGTGGAGGACACGTTTGGGGTAGCCGTACGAGTCCTCGTCGCGTGTCAACTGCCAGATGATGATCGTCTTGTCTGCCCAGCCAGCCAGCTTCAATATTTCGATCTTTATGGACTATAATCGCGCGTACGCACCGCGAGAGCCCGTCAGGATAACATCCGGCGTCTCCGACGAGGTCGCGATGCTGGTGACCCAACCAGCGTGGCCGGTGAGCGAGCCGATGAACTGCAATTATATTCGTCAATTTCCGACCACATTGTACAAGGATAAATACGCACCCTGAGCTGTTCGGACATAATGGAGGTGTGCTTTTGGCCGACGTGCGCGACGTTCTCGAAACCGTTCTGCTCGTTGTCGGCGCGCGCGCTCCGGCAAACTCCGAGCCGGTGATGTCCATAACTGCAGACCCTAACCCTAAAATCTCGGCGTTTCCCCTCCCATTTCCTGCCTTTAATCCCTTGGCCCTTTCCTCGGCACCAACGTTCTGCAGCGGTTTCGCGATCAGACGTGCGTATGCATCCGTTCGGTTCCTGGCATGCATACCTTTCGTCTATGATGACCACCATTATATCACTCTTTTACACGTCGAGGGCCATCCGTCCGGCGAGACTCGTTCATTAACCAGATTCTGATCCTCGCCTCAAGCCCTTAAAGATGAATATCATGAGCTTACACCGCCCTAGACTATACGGCCACGGGAAACGAAGTAGACAGGCTCGACGAGCCGGGTGCGGGGAAGCATGAGGTGGCGGGCGTCATCGGTCCGGGCGTGGCGTCGTTATCGCCAGAGCCGATTGAGAGTGTCCGATCTTTGTCGAACGCTGCCCACCCAACGCCCACCATCGGCTTCCCTGTCATTCTCGAGCGCTTGAACGTTGCTTGTATATATACCCTACCTCCTGAAATTCGTGAACATTGCAATCATGACTGGCCGCAAGAAGACTCCCGTCATCAGTCAGTCTTGGCAAGAACAGCGCCCAACGCGCTTGTGTGCTCATCTGCGGGCTTACAGTCGACACCGACCCCGGCGTGGATGATACTGTTGCCATGTATGGGTGCTTCTTGCCCTACTGCATCTTCCGCTGAATCTTGTGGACTAGCCTTATGGCACTGGCCTCGCCAGAAATCGAGATCTTGGCTTATGTCGTTACCTTTGGTATGCCGCTTCACTGTATCGCATACTTTGCATTCTGACACTGGATACCGACAGGTAATACTGACCTCGAGGCTTCCTAGTACGCGGACACGTTAACGCTGGTAGCCTCTGACCCAATCCTGACTTCATGGTAGTCACAACATCTTCAAGATATACCAAGCTGTTGGCCGCGAGATCGAGCATGACCCTGCAGCGGCCGCCAGGTTCCCAAACTATACCCAAGCCGTCAAGCCCATCATCGTCAAGGGACCTGAAGGACCGCTCAGCGGCGACCAACATAGTGCGAAGTATTTCCATGGACGGTACGACTTCGTCAGTGATACTGTATCAGGACTTCTTGACAAATAGCATCCGCTCTACAGCGACGGGCTCGGAAATGCGTATGAGCACCACCCCGACCTCGACGTGCCCGCAAGTGTACTCGAGGCGGACGATAATCCGCATCTTCAGATAACCCGCAAGCCCGCATACGAGGTAGCGCTGGACCTCTTACGGGATCACGACTACAGAGAGATCACCTATATCGTCCTTGGACCCATGACCAACCTCGCGCTCATGATGCGCGCGGACGCGGAACTCGTACAGAAACGCATTGGGCGGGTTGTCGTCATGGGCGGCGCCCTTGACGTTCCCGGAAACGCAACCCCCGTCGCCGAATGCAAGTCGCATCTCTTCTTTCATTATGTATGATGATAAGCTCACAGTTGTGATCTTCGAATCGTCTAGTCAACTGGTACGCGGACCCGTATGCCGTTCACGAGCTTCTTACGCCCTCCGCGGACGCTGCGCACTCGGGTCTACCGATATCCCGCACCCTGATCTTGCCACTGGACATCACAACACCTCACGAGATACCCTTCCCTGCATACGCTGAGCATATCGATCCGACTTTCGCGCCAGATGAACCATCCAAACCGGAAGGCAAGGCGCCTTTACGTCACTTCGCCAGCGCATTTCTACGTCGTACGCGCGAAGTCATGAAGAGCTTTGGCAAGGATGCCATGGAGCTTCACGTCAGTACACCGCCAAAGCATCTCCGCGGCGCCCGTTGTTGACATGTTCGTAGGATATCACTGCGGTTTGGGCAGCGGCACAATGTCCGCCGACAGAGACGGACGCCGTCATGGGTCTCGCCGACGGCTGGAGCGTCTACTGGCGAACGTTCGCAATTGAGCGGTATGTCCCCTCAAACTGTATGTTACGGCGCAAAGTGATTGAATCAGCCGACTAGTACTGGAGAGTATACGCGTGGGATGTGTGTTGTGGACCGTCGCGATGAGGCGATGGCGTATGCATCAGGCAAGAACCGCGCGAAGTTGCAGGAAGCGCTGATCGACGCGGATACGAAGCACGGCGAGCTCGAGTCCGTCGCAGAACCTGCGCCCGTTATGGGCGAAGATACTCCGGAAGAGCTGCCTGAAGGCTACGAAGGCGTCCCAATCGTCGCGCGCACCCCCGGTCCGCAGGTCCTTTTACAGATCCTATTTTCGCGAGTCTGGGGCGTCGAAATCTGAGCAGAACTTTCGAGATCGTCCATAGACTTCAATTTCTCGACCCTTTGCACAAGACTATTGCCAAATGGGGTTACGGCCCCTATAGGTAGTTTTCAGGCTACCTCTGTGCGTTGCTTCGATATCCGACTTCTCCAGAGTGCATGGGCATCTGCAAACCAGGAATCCCTTAGAAAGCGTTAGCAACGCTCGGTAACGACG